TGTTCTATGAGGCATTAAAATTATAGAATTTTCTAAAATATTCATTGTAATTAATGAAAGAAATTTAATATAATTGGTAATTAGGAATAAATATAAATTATTATCAAGTTTTTAAGTATTTAAGTTACTTTTTACTTTTAGTATTTTTAATTACTTTTATTATTTTTTTTTTTTTTTTTTTTTTTGTAAAGATATATAGTAATTTCAACGTTTCATTTTATACTGTCACATATCTTCCGTTGCTGTAGATCAAATGCTAATAATTTATTTTAGAGCCTAAATATTGGCGACAATTTTTTCATGGCGCAAATTTCTAGAACAAATTAAATTGTCATTTTTGAATTATTTTTTTCTTTTTGTTTGTTTCTTATCTAAGTGATATAAAATAAAGTAAAAAAGTTGAATTAATTCAAAATTTTCATAACTAATATATTGAAAAGACAATTTAAATATTACTATTTTTGTATTCGAATAAATAAAATTTCATTTTTATGCAATTTTTTTTTTTTTTTACTCTTTTTGCTTATTTTTTTAGTTTGATTTAATTTGTGATAAATTTATTTTGCAATTGTTTGAATAATTATTTTCAGTGAATGCTAGAATTATTGCTATATGTTTATTGATAAGTTAAATTTTGTTTACTGATAAATGTTTAAAATGTAATCAAATTAAGCTATGATAAATGATTAAAAGATCAAAGATAAATAATTAGTAAATGTTTTGTTACTAATTTGAAAATATATTAATGATAGCATTTTTTATTGCATTACTTTGGAAAGATTTTTATCAGTTCCAATATTCAGTAAAAATTAAAAGAGTTGAAAAAGAGAAGTTAAATTCATAAAGTTAATAAATGTTAAATTCATAAAGTTAATAAACAAATAATTATGCATGAAATGGAAATGAATTAAGATATGAAAATGAAATTATAAAATTATAATTATTCAATTACTATCGCAGTATTAAAATTTTTTTGATTTTCAAATAAACAAAATTTCATTTTTTAATGCTTTTCGATTTTTCTTTTTTTGACTTCTTTAGTCTAAAAACAATTTAAATTGTAAAATTTTTCTAAAAAGTTATTTTAATTTTTAAAATTTCTAAAATTATTTTAATCTTTAGATGACTGCAAATATATGAAATTTACCGGAAATCTTATTATTAGACTATTTATTATAAGCAGTGCAACTAAAATATATTATTGGAACAGTAATTTAAAATTAATTATAATCATTATTTAAGTCATTTGAGGAAATCATAATTGCAAATTATCACATTCACATTTATTGCTTCTCATTAAATTTGTTTCAGTTAAATTACTCAATAAATTTGAATATGATATGATAATAATGCTAAACTCATTTATGTAAAATAGTATACAAATAAATAAAATTATTAAAGTTAGACTGAAAATAATTTATATATGAATTACTTATTGCTTATCAAATTTTAGCTATATGCAAATAAAGTTAATAAAGTTGTATTCAAATTTTCAATAGTAGAAATAAGCTTAAAATTTAATTTAACAGATTTTGAAATGAAAATTTACTATTTCTAATGCATTCAAAAAAAAAAAAAAAAAAAAGAGAAAATTAGCAAATATAAAATATTAGAAGAATATTTACTTATTATCAAAGTGATAAAATATAAATTATTAGAAGAATTATCATCTTTTTGGTAATTTTTTATTTTCAATTTTTTATTATCAAAGTGATAAACTCTTATTATCAAAGTGATGAACTCCACTTTTTGGTAATTTTATCTTTAACTGACAAAGATATGCATTAAGATGGATGCTTTGAATGACTTATTAACTAAAATTACTTTTAATTTTTCTTCTTGTGGTCTATTCTATGGCCGACGTTCTGAAATTTGTTGTCCCAGCCATAATTTTATGCCTATTACTTTAAAGTTTACTTCGTTAGAGTGCTGAAAAAAATGTTTATTGGGTTAAATTCTTAGTTTAATTTTTAAATATTTAGTTGTGGTCTAAAAGATTTTTGGAATTTTAATTATTTTTTAATTTTATTTTTTTGACATATCAGTAAAAGTTTTTATCATAGCATATGAATAATCGAAATAAAATATCAATTTCAAGGTTTGTTGTTTTTTTTGTTTTTAGAAAATTAATTTATAATTATAACTTTGCATTGATATAAGGTACTTTTATTTCTGTACTGATACACTGTTGAAGGTTTAAAGTGATATTTTATTAATTTTTATACAAATAAAATATTTCATAAAGTTGAAAAAATTTTTCAAATGAATTTAAAAATAGTTGAAGTGAATTTAAAAGTGAAATTAATATTATTTACTATCGCTGTTTGATACTTTACTGATGGTTTAAAGTGATATTTTATTAATTTTTATGCAAATAAAATATTTGGTAAAGTTGAAAAAATTTTTCAATGAATTTAAAATTTAAAGTTAAAGTAAATTTAAAAGTGAAATTAATATTATTTACTATCGTTGTTTGATACAGTATCGATAGTTTAAAGTGATATTTTATTAATTTCCAAATATTTGATAAAATTGAAAAAAGAATTTTCAAATGAATTTAAAAATAGTTAAAGTAAATTTAAAAGTGAAATTAATATTAATTACTAATCATTTTTGTGGGACAAAAATTGAATTAAAAAAAAAAAAAAAGATTTCTTTTTTTTTTCCTCTTTCATGCTTACAATACTTTTTTGCTTGTCATACAATTAAATGAATGAAATGCATTTGTTTACATTTGTTCCAAAAGTAAATAAACAATTAACAATTTGAAGGTTATAGCTCTCTGCTTTTGAGTTGACACCACTTGACCGCTTTTCTTGAAATAAAAGTGTCATTTTATAGGACAACTAAATGTGATAGAAATGATGAAGCAAAATTCATATCATATTTCGCTTTAATAATTATGCAAATTTTGATCTTCTCAAATGATATCAATCAAAATATTCTGATAACAGTTCTGATATAGAAATAACAATAACTCACAGAAAATTGAATAAATGTGAAAGGTCACACCATTCAGAGAGATAGTGTTAAAAGGTCATCAAAGACAGTGTTAAAAGGTCATCGGAGACAGTGTTGACAATTGAAAGAAATTTTTAAAAGGCATACCGCCATTCTTTCGAGAATCTTTCCCTGTATTCATTGATTACAAAAATAATTTATCAAGTGCTCTTTTAATGATTGTTCAATTAGATTAAATGTAATTAATTGCATTCATAGCTTAATTAATCTCAGGTATATTAATTAACCTGGATGTGAGATTCAGTTCAGATTTAGCAATACTTCTATGCTATTGAACCAATGAATGAAATTAATTTTCAATTTTCAAAAAAAAAAATATTGTTGATTGTTTATATCCATTTGGGTATTTAATCATCTGCAAAATTTTCTCTTAAAATTGTTTACCTTGTAATTTTGTTATATTTTTATTTATTTTTGACTTTTTTAAAAAAAAAAAAAAAAAATTTAGTTTGTGATTTTTTTTTTTTTATCTACAAAATTTATGCAATTAAATGCTTGAAAATGCAATAAACATTATTAATAACTCAAAAAGTATTAATTTAATTTTATTTTTAAAAAAAATTAAAAGTGAAAAAATTAAATAATAATTAAGAATATTGAAATGTATGCCTTTTTATTATTTATTATTATTTAGCATAGCAACAAAAGTAAGTATTAAATTTATAGTTAATATATTATTGTACCAATGAATTTAATCAGAAAGTATTAATTTAATTTCATTTTGATTGAAATTTTTTTTTCAAATTAAAAGTGAAAAATTAAATAATAATTAGGAATATTCAAATGTATGCCTTTTTATTATTTATTATTATTATTTAGCGTAGCAGCAAAAGTAAGTATTAAATTTATAGTTAATATATTATTGTACCAATGAATTTAATCAGAAAGTATTAATTTAATTTCATTTTGATTGAAATTTTTTTTCAAATTAAAAGTGAAAAATTAAATAATAATTAGGAATATTCAAATGTATGCCTTTTTATTATTTATTATTATTATTTAGCGTAGCAGCAAAAGTAAGTATTAAATTTATAGTTAATATATTATTGTACCAATGAATTTAATCAGAAAGTATTAATTTAATTTCATTTTGATTGAAATTTTTTTTCAAATTAAAAGTGAAAAAATTAAGTAATAATTAGGAATATTCAAATGTATGCCTTTTTATTATTTATTATTATTATTTAGCGTAGCAGCAAAAGTAAGTATTAAATTTATAGTTAATATATTATTGTACCAATGAATTTAATCAGAAAGTATTAATTTAATTTCATTTTGATTCAAATTTTTTTTCAAATTAAAAGTGAAAAAATTAAGTAATAATTAGGAGTATTCAAATGTATGCTTTTTATTATTTATTATTATTATTATTATTTAGCATAGCAACAAAAGTAGGTATTAAATTTATAGATAATATATCACCTAAAACGTGGTAACCAATGAAACTAATCGTAGTGGTCGCTAAGGACCAGGTATATGACCAGGTGACCATAATCATTTACTCTTCAATGTGCTGTGCCCAAATGTCCTCATCGTACATATGTGACAATGACCAATATTCATATGCATGCATTATTGGTTTTGAGTAAATGAGACACCCATCAGATTTATTTGCCAGATACATGGGACATGGGACAGGGGGACAGGGGACAGAGGACAGAGGACAATGAAACGACAATGGGGACAATTGCTGTTGTCCTTGTCAAATAACACTCTCATCACTTTTCACTTTTTTTTTTTTTTTAAAGGCTTTTCAAAAACTAACACATTGCAAAAATTATTATTATTTTATTCTTCATATATTTATTTAATTTTTTTATTTATTAATAAATTTTATATTATTATAATTTTTTATTAAAATGTCATAGTTTTCAACTTTTTTCTTTGTTTTTGTTTCTAAAAATTTTTAGCAAACAAATTTAAATAAATTGAAATATAACTAAATAACCATTTTGTTTTCTATTAACAAAATGTTATTATTGATTATTGATTTTTTTGTTTTTGTTTTTGTTTTTGTTTATTTAAAATATCAACAAATTATTGAAATTCAGTTGCTTTTTTTGTTTTTTGTTTTTTTTTTTTCTTGCACAAAATGATTTATACGCTTGCTTAATTAATTTCAAATAATTTCAATAAATTATATAACTATTTAAATTTTATTAAATTTTTTTTTTTAAATAAATTAAAATTTTTTTTTTTTGTCTTCTCAAAAATCATATTTCAATTTCTTTTGCTAAAAAAAATTGTAAGCTTAAAAAAAGTCTTAATTTGAATATTTCATTGATATTTTTGACAAAAAAAAAAAAAATAATCAATAATAACATTTTTTTTTTTTTAAATTTAAAAGTAAAATTTGGAATAAATAAATAAATAAGAAAAAATGAAAATGACAAAAGTAAGAATTAATTTTTGGTCGGTAATATCAAAACGAAAAGAAAATTGATAAAGCATTAGGAACAGGTGCAATACACCTGAAACATTAGCTATAATAATTACCTGTGCATAATTTATGAATTTCCCAAAGCGAATAAAATCTTATATAGAATATAATTTATATTATTCATTGTTCATTTCTTTTCTTAGTTTTGTTTTTCATTTTTTTTTTTTTTTCAAATTTTTAATTTCTTATTTTTTAAAAAAGAATAAAACAATTTCGAATACAAATAATAAAACAATTAATTTATTTGAAAAAAAAGTAATAAATTTCTATTTTTCAAAAAAATAGCAAAAATTAAATTTGTGCAAAATAAAAATTAGAATAATGTAATTTGGAATATATTTTTTTAATATCCTTTTTTTTAAGATTAATTAATTAAAATTAAAGAGGAATATACTTTTTAATATATTTTTTTTAAGATTAATTAATTAAAATTAAATAGGAATATAATTTTTTTTTTAAATCTTTTTTTTTAAGATTAATTAATTAAAATTAACGAATTACCAAATAGAAATGTTTTATTTTTAACTTTTTCAATTGTATAATTCATTGTTGAATATTTTTGAAAATTTTTTTTTAATAGCAATCAAATTTTATTATTTAATTCAACTGTAAACAATATTTCATTTAATCTTCCTTTTTTTTAAAAAAAAAAAAAAAAAATATTTTTGTAAATTAATTTTAACATTTTGTTCCAATTATAATTTATTTATGTCTAAACAATGCATTTGATAATTTTCAATATTTTATTTTAATTTTTTTTTTTTTTTTTAATTATGCAAAAATTTCAGAGCGACAAAATTATGATAACAATAAATGTGCTAGTGATTATATTTATGCTAGCAATTGCTATTAATGGCGAAGGTTTTGGTATGTTAAAAAATAAAAATACAACAAAATTTGTTTTTTTTTTTTTTTTGTAATTTTGTAATTTTGAATTTTTTTAATTTAAAATAAAAGAAAAAATTAAATTCCCTTAAATGAAAATTAAAATTTTTTTATTTAATTAATTAATTTCACATATTTTGAATACTTATAATTTTATGAATTCACATTAAATGATTGTTTATATGTGTATATGAATATTTTTTGAAAATGATTCTTTGTAATTTTGGCATATTTGAATTTTTTTTTTTTCTAATTTAAAATGAAAGAAAAAATTAAATTCTTTTAAATGAAAATTAAAATTTTACGAATTTATATTAAAGGTATGAATGTTTATGAAAATGATTCCTTTCTTCTACTAATCAAATTAATTATTCTATTTCATAAATAAATTAACGATTTGTATATTTCAGTAATTTTATCATCTCATTTTTCATTTCTTTAATATGCGAATTCATTGGAAAATTTTTGTTTTATTTTAAAATTTATTCACTCAATTTAATAGCAATTAAAATTTATGTAATAATACTTACATATTTTTCAATAAATATTGCTCATATAATTTTTATTTAATTTTATTTCAAATTTATTTCTAAAATTTTGTATTCTAGAACTTTGGCTTAATTTAATGGTAATTAGAATTTATATATAATAATATTTACATATTTACATTTATCAATAAATATTGTTTTTATATTTTTTATTTAATTTATTTCAAAGTCTATTTCCAGAACTTTCTATTCGAGAACTTTTGCTTAATTTAATACTAATTAGAATTTATATAATAAAATTTACATATTTATCAATAAACATTGTTTTTATATTTTTTCAGTTAATTTATTTCAAGTTCATTATTATTTAATTTTTCTTAGTATCTAATAAAATTTACATATTTATCAATAAATATTGTTTTTATATTTTTAATTTAATTTATTTCAAAATTTATTTCCAGAACTTTTGCTTAATTTAATAGTAATAAGAATTTATATAATAAAATTTATATATTTATCAATAAACAATTTATTTCAAATTTATTATTATTTAATTTTTCTTAGTATCTAATAAAATTTACATATTTATCAATAAATATTGTTTTTATATTTTTTAATTTAATTTATTTCAAAGTTTATTTCCAGAACTTTTGCTTAATTTAATAGTAATTAGAATTTATATAATAACATTTACATATTTATCAATAAACATTGTTTTTCATATTTTTTTTCAGTTAATTTATTTCAAATTTATTATTTAATTCATTTTTTTTTTTTTTTTTTTTTTAGTAGTAGTAGCAAAATTTCAGTTGAAGAAGTATCTTGTACCGCTGATGCTATCAATGTTGTTTTAAACAAGACTGATCCGGATGTTCAGCGCTGGATGTCAGATCCAAAAGCGCAACCGGTTGTTTATGTTTATGAGCACAAGACTCGACCACCATGCGGTACAGCAATGAAAAAAGGAAATTTGCTTAATTATAATTTTACAATTCCATACGGTGATCATTGTGATGTACATTTAATTGATTTGGTTAGTTGTTTAATTTAAAAATTTTTCACATTTGCAAATATTTTTAAATTTAAAAAAAATTTTTTGTTCCTTTTATTTTTTTTTTTTCCACTTTTTTTTGGTTAACCTTAAAAACTTTTTTTTTTTCTATAAATATTATATTTTCTGTGTAAATTTTAATAAAACATACTTACATTGATATAAATTTTAAACAAAAAAAAAAAAAAAAAAAAAACTTTTATTTTTCAAATTTATCTTTTTAGTTTTTGAAAAAAAAAAAAAAAAAAAAATTTCCCTAAAATTTCTAGGAACCAAATTACCGTAATGCTGAGACGACAATAGCGCTTGAAGATAATGCTGATATGACACCATCAAAAACCATACGTGTTAATCACGTATTTTGTTTATATACGAGAAGTGTGCAAACTATACGATTTAATGATATATCCAGGTATTCTGAATATAAATTTACCTAATTTTACTACTTTAATTAAAAGTGTATGATAATTTAATTTTTATCAAAATTTTAGTTTAAAACCACTTGTCCTAAATGTTTTGTTCATACCTATATACAAACGTTTATCATCTAATTAACTTTATATATTGACCTAATTAACTTTATGATTGCATTGTAATTGATACCTGGAAAAATGCTAAGAGTAGTAGAATATAAATTTTTGCATTCAATATGAAAAAAATACAATTTTTTCACTTTAAATTTTAAAGTCTTTTCAAGAAAAAAAAAAAAAACTAAAGTAAGTAATCATTTCTGGCTCTTTATATCTTAAAAAATTACAAAGGTAGCTAGGCTAACCTTATGGAACCTTAAGAACCTATTATCATTCCATAAGAATTTTGATAATGACTATTTACTTTTGATAATTTTGATAATGACTCTAAATTTGCAGTGGTCATGAAGTGGTTGCATCAACTGGTGGAAAACCAAAACCTAAAGTTGAAATGATCTTTCGTAGCATTGATGGACGACCTTTGAGAGCTGCTAAATTTGGTGACATCGTTGAATTTTATGTTGCACTTTCACCTGACAGTGAGTTAATGATTAAATTTGAAATTTAAAAAATTCTGATTGTTATTATTGTCGTCTATTATCATTATGAATTCCTATCACTAACTGCTGTTACTGCAGTTTACGTAAATACTTCGAGACACGTAAAATTGTTAGTTATCATTTATCATTTATTCGGAATCGTTACTGAAATTTACGTAAATACTTCGAGACACGTAAAATTGTTAGTTATCATTTATCATTTATTCGGAATTGTTACTGAAATTTACGTAAATACTTCGAGACACGTAAAATTATTAGCTATCATCAATCACTTATCATTTATTCGGAATCGTTACTGCAGCTTACGTAAATACTTCGAGACACGTAAAATTGTTAGTTATCATTTATCACTTATTCGTAATCACAAAAAAAAAAAATGATTTGAAAAGATGATAATAAGAATAGCAGATTAGCTATTGATAGTGATAATTTTTTAGAAGCTTATCATGGAATTAGTCCTAAAGAATGTATGTTTTCTGATCGAGAGGATATGTCATCACCTGATGCAAAGCATTTAACTTTTGTTCAAAGCAGGTTAATGTCATCTACAAACTTTGACACATAAATGAATTTTTTATTTTGATAATAATAAATTATTAAATAAATTTACAAATCATTTATATGTGGTATAAAAAATTTTAATTTGCATTTGTTTCATTGATAGAATAATGATAAGTAGCAGAATTTTTTTTTTTTTTTTTGATAAATTTGAGCAATTTTTCATGGAAATGAGTAATTGACAGAATTTTATGAATGTTTATTTCAAATATTAGATATATATATTAATAAATATTATAATTTAATTGCATATGTATAATATGAATGTTTATTTCAAATATTATATATAGATTAATAAATATTATAATTATATATATATAATAGATAAATAATTTAAGTAAATCAATTTTTTTCAAATATTATAATTATATATATGGATTAGATAAATAATTTAATTTAAGTAATTCAATTTTTTTTAGCTGTCCGGTAGATGAAATGAGCGAAATCATCGATCCATTGGCAAATGTCAATGAAGAAGTATATTTTTCAAAATTTAAAACATTTCGTTTTGGTAATCAATCGACAGTATTTGCTCATTGTACCGTTCAAGTATGTCTCACTACCGAAGAATGTGCACAGGTATAAATATTTTAATTAATAAAAACAATAATTGTTTTCTCTTAAAAAAAAAAAAAAAAGAAAGAAATGATTATCTTTACTTATGAGTGAAAAATTTTTTACTAAGAATTTAATAAGTAAAAGTTTAGTATAAATTAATTTAGATAGTATAACGATTTGAACTATTAAATTAAAACTGCTTTTTCTCAAAAAAAAAAAAAAAAAAACCATTTAATGATATTTTGAATTTGTACTGATAATAATTTTATTTCAACGAAAACATTTTTGAGTTATAAAAGTGTAAAATTTTTCTTGAATTCTTAAAGTGTAATCTTTTCTTTTAATAGAAAGCAAAATTTTATTAAAATATATATTTTCGAGAAATGCTTCAAACGAATTAGCAATTCGAATTTAACCGCTGAACGATTACGTTTTCGACACAGACGACAATTGGATGACAATTACGGTGCTTCAGTAATTCGTAAACAAAATGCTATCAATGAAATTGCATTAACACGACCGTTAACCATTTTGGATGATATGGAAAGCAATGAAGGTTACAATGAAGCTTCTTTTACCTTTCTCTCTCTCTCTCTCTTTTTAAATTTATAAAATACTATTTAAATAATTTAAAAATATTATCTGTGTATATTTAACGATTACGTTTTTATCCTTATCTTATCACTTTCCCTACTATCAATTATTTGTCTCTGAAACCAAAAAAAAAATTTAATTAAATTATTTTAATGATAAATTCAAATCATTTTTTGAATTTAATCTTTTAAAAGATACTTATTTAGCTGTTTATTGAAATAAAATGCAAAAAAATCTTTTGCTATTTTTTATATTCTAATTGAGCTAACTTATTGTTTACTTTTTTTTTTTTTTTTTTTTTTTTTAGTAAATGATAATAAAGTGGAACAATGTCTTATTAAAAATGCTATTTTACCACTACCAATTTTTATCCTTATCTTATCACTTTCCCTGCTATCAATTATTTGCCTCACTGGACTGTTATTTACTTTAAAACGATTGGCTACATATAGAAAATTTGCACCATACAGTTTTGGCATCTACAGGTAAATTTACTTTGGTTTCTTTTTTTTTTTTTCAGACTGATTTATCACATTTTTTATCATTCACTATCACTTTTATCAATTGAAAATTTAGTCCTATTTGTTAAAATGTAAACTTGACCTCTATATGTATACTAAATTTCTTTATTTTATTATAACTTTCTTATATGATAATTTTTAAAAGAATTAATCAAAAAAAGAAAGGAATGGAAAAGTAATTTAAAAAAAAAAAAAAAAAAAAAGCTAATTGAAATTTCAACTTCGTGTTGAATAACTTAAAATATAATTTAATCATGAATAACTCTTGAATTTATTCTTAATTATAAATTATCTAAATTAATCATTAGGCTAATTTTTTTTTAGTGCTTATTCTGGACCAACAGTACCACTTCCAGTACGGTCACTAACCGATTCATCCGTATGCAATTTGCCGAATAGTGGCAATAGAACAAACTGGACAAATCGATTATCATCAGGAATTGAATATCCATATATTCGAGAAATGTATTGATTGATTGATTTAAAAATGTCATCTATCTCTGAAATTCTTTTATTTACTATCTAATCATTTGATCACAAAATGATGTAAAATAAAATATAACAAAATTTATTTTACTAATGCAAAATTTAATTGAATTTTTAATTGAAATTCCAAAAAATCCACTTCATTAACTAATAAATGATTATGTTTTGTGTGTTCTCAAAAATCGACAAAACTATTCCTTTCGGAGATTACTGTACACTACAGAACCCCACATAATCACTCAAGCAAAGGAATACGGTAGTGCTACAGTATCCCTGTTCATGTCATAATACTAAAAGGAATAATTTAATTACTTTTGCTTGCCTTATCAAATTTCAGATAATCCATCATATTGTTTGTTTGTTTACTTTTTGTTCTGTTAACATTAAACATAATATCGTCCCTAATTTACTTACCAAATTTTATAATCTTTGATAGTTGAAATTATCTGTTCATTGTTTCTCGAGATTTACTAGATGTATTATTATTTACTCCACATTGCATATTTACTTTCTTTCAAACAATTTACTATTCCATCTTTCGAAGTAATATAAACTTTGTTTTTATTCGTATTTTGATTCGAACTCACTAATTTAGAGTTCTATAAAAAGGCAAGAGAAAGAATTAATGGATATTGCATTATAAGTAATACCTGTTACTTTCGAGTTTTCTCACAAATCTATTGGTTCATCATTTGCATAAGTATCAAATTATCAATTTCATTACTTTAATTTAATTGCAAAGAAATTTACATATAGTAAAAAGAAAAAACTTCTGATGGAATCATTTATTATTTAAAAAAAAGTTTTGAAAAAAGATTGAAAAAGTTATTTGTAAATCTGTTACTTTCGAATTATCAATTTTACTTCATTACTTTAATTTAATAGCAAAGAAAAGATTTCTACTGGCTTTTTTCTTTCTTTTCATAAAGTATTCTGCAAATTCAAAAAGTTATTATATTTATTTTTTTTAAGAGACATTTTGAACAGGTGTTAATTGAGTGCAAAAATGTAAACTACTTAATATTTCATTTTAAATTGTCCTTATCAATTTTTTGTTTATACTAAAGAAAGTTGTTTACACTTTTATACGACAGATGTCTTTCATAGTAAAAAAAAAAAAAGCGATGTTAAAAAGAATCAGCGAGAAATTTCTCGACAAAGCTTTTTTACCAATCATAAAATGATATAATTTTTGATCATTCAACAAAGAAATTGGTCTAAACTAACTAAGAAAGTTTAACATTTAATCTATCAAAACATCAAGTTCAAATGCTTTCGAATATTAGTTGACACAATAGCTACATTTCAAAAATTTAATCATTGCGATATTCTGTAAAACTAATTTATGTGATAGCAATGAAACAAATATTTAAGTTGAAATTTTACACATTCTACAGAACAAATTTAATCTGAATCCAAAATTAATTATTAGTTAGCATTGGGTACTGTTATAGTCAGAGTAAATTACATTGACCGTTTGCAAACATTTTCAGTTTTTATCTTAAGAAAAAGCTTATTTTAAAGTTTATCTAATGAATGCAAATTCATTGCTTAAGCAGTAAAGTCTTTGACAATATCACTAAAAATAAACAACTAAATGACTGTGATGCAATTGTTTTGTCAACTGTCACTCATCTTACTTCCTTTGTCACTTGTTTTTAAATTAAGAAACAAATAAAACTTCACAAAGTTGTTGTCAAAATTTCAAAAAAAAAAAAAAAAAAAGGAAAGCAAAAACAATGCAATAAGTAATTAATTCCTTAAATACGTTAAACACAAGGATTTGAAGGATATTTCAACAATTAATCGTATCACACCTGCTAAAATTAAATTAAATTATTCGATGAGTAAATGAATTTATTCAATAGATGTTTGCAAGAATTGAACTGAAAGACTTTGATTGAAAAAAAAAAGAAAACAAAAGTGACAGCGTTTTCGAGACAATAACGTTTCTTTAAAATATCTAAATTTAATAATTTTTAACATTTAACCGAATTTCTAAATTTAAATAATTTTTACCATTTTCAAGCATTCTTTCCCACAGATCTTTCGAAAATTGTCTGAAAAAAAAAACACAAATGACATTTTCAAAATTCACTTTGAATCGATTTTCTTTCCTTAATAATTCTTATATCTAACAATTCTTTCTAAAAATTAAATGATAAAAAAGTATCAAAATACATACAAAGTAATGATCAGCTGCTTTACTGCCAGTTAATTCAATAACCTTCCGACGATTTTCCTGAACAGTTTTCCTGACATATTTTTCTGTCCATACTATAGCAATTGGCAAGGTTAATGCGTATAATGGAGTTAGTTGTACACCTGAATTTCAGTAAAATTGTTTATAAAACTCACCTGCGTAAATATTTTCGAACTCACACCACCAGTATTAAAAAATTACTTCATAAAATAGTTTCTAAAAATTTCCTTCTCTTAATAAACGATGCAAATTACACGATGTTGACATAATTTTAGAAATTCGATACGATATCGATAACTCAGCAATGTTTCAAACTTTCAATAACAAAATTATCGTAAGAGTTTTGTAGTGGTAATATATTGTATCTATTCTAAAGTTTTATCTTTAAATTAAAATTTCAATTTCGAATTAGTAAACTAAATCAGAACGAATGCAATCATTGATATGCGTAATAATACGGTCAATATTTTCGTTGAACTGTGTTCAAATTTCAGTATTTCATATTTTTTTTTGCATTTTTCATCAATTTTTTAATCTTATTTGAAACATTTAATTTTACTTCTCTACTATTAATTGAATATATTTTATTCTAATTTTAATTCATTTATACACTTTTGTTAACAGTTATATTTTTATAAGTTTTGTTTGAATTTGAAAAAAAAAAAAAAAAAAAAAGATTAAATACTGCTGGAAAAAGATGACAAACAAACTTTCAAGATAGATAGCAAATTGTTTTGGAGAAAATTTGAAATCGATAGCAAAGTACATAAATAATGCACCCAGGAAAATTGCCAGAAATATCGAGTAAAATGCTACCATTGGTGATAATGTCTGAAGGGAATTGATATTTTCCATGATTTGATAACGATGTGATAAGTTAACGTGAATTTTGTTTCGATGTAATCTCTGAAAATTTATTACAGAATAGCGCGCTAATGTCACAAACACTTAGCTTTATGATAGATTTGTTATCAATTATAACTATGATCAAATTTTGCTGGAAGTAATTAGCCAAATGAGCAAAAGAGCAAATCAAAATGCTTAAATAATTTAGTATCAATTGCTCGAAAAAAAAAAAAATTTAATTACTTTAAATCTTAGTGAATGTATTTGTTAAAAAAAAAAAAAAAAAATAATCAATCAGTTTGCCTTATTAATGCAAAATAAAAGTGGAAGTGTTAAAGCAGAAATGAAATCAATGATTGTATAAAAGCCAAAAACGATAGCAGATTTTAGCGCATTTGCTTCATTTGATGTCGAACAGTAAACAACTTTTTTTGAATCGAACAAATTGAAATTGCTAACAATGAAAAAGAAACTTCCACAAGCAATGGTTAACTGAAATTGCAGAGCTTTTTATTTTTTTAGATATTATTAACATCGTATTTTGCTGTTTTAAATTATATATTTTAAAATATTTTGAAGTTATCAAACTGGCCAACCCGTAGAGAAGCGACAATTTCCCAGTGACATTTCCAACGTTTTGTTTTTTTTTTTTTTGCTTATACATTGATTTACTGAGCTCTACTTTTGTAATTCATTACTCAGGAATGAATTTAAAAATAAGATAAGATCAAAGAACTGAATGAATTAAATTATTAGCAAAAAATTTGCTTAAACATAGATACAATTTTTAATTTTGTATTTTCTAAAAATTTTTATGAAAATAGTAAATTTAAATTCATCTTTTTTTAACCTGTGCTATGAAAAGTATAATAGCGACACTTATTCCAGATTTTTCATATCTTGCCGAAAAATATGTCGCAATAGCTCGTTCGATGACAACTGTCGGTATTGATGCAGCATTTAGCAGTAATGTTAAAGTAATCGGTGTTCGCATCATGAAACATTCCCATGGGTAAGCCATATACCCACACGGATCAGTATACGTCTTCTGATATGACACTAACACATATAAATGCGCAAATATTCTGTAACAGAAAAATTTGTCACCAATATGAGAATTTGCATAAAAAATTGATTGATTGATTGATTGATTGATGATATGATCAAAACAATTTCTAAACGATCTTTTGTTTTTGATCAAAACAATTCCTGAAAGCTATTTTGTAATCTCCAGCATATCAGATCATTCCAAATCAATTTTGATCATTTAAAATATTTATGTCATTTTGTCAGCTTTTCTTCTTAACTTTGATAATTGATCTCAATTCTGAGCGAAATGCAATGAAAGCAATTTTCTTTCTTTCCTTTTTATTATATTTTAATCTTACTGAAATGCTCCAATCATTGTTGCAAGCAATAATTTTTATAAAAATTTCATCTTCAAATGACTAAAAAAAAGGCTTTTGCTGGGTATTTGAACTATTCAAATTGTGTATCATTTACTTGGTGACAATACTTTCTATCAAATATTTCCTGTTTTCTTATTTTTTTTGCTTTTTTTTTTTTTTCACTTATTATATTTGAATGATTTCTTTGTGCTTAATTTTTAGTTGTAAACATTATTGTCATACAGTTTTGTTAGTGATAAAATGGATAAGTTGAGAAATTTTAATTTTTTTGCATTTTAAAAAATGAAAAAACAACCTTGCAGCACAGTGAAGAATAAGCCATAATTGATGTGTGATAATTAAAATTCGAGTATTTCGATGTAATAAAATATGATTTGTTGTCTTAAGCATTACCCATATTTCAAAAATAATTCCTGTTACTGATATGATAATGACAAGGATGAGAATAGCATTGAATACAATACTATTAGCTAATTCACTTGCTTGCTTACATAATTCCATATTTATAATTTTACCTAAAAATTTTACAGTAAGCATAAAAAATTTTTAGCTTATTTTAAAAAAATTACAATGAAAAATGTATGTATTAAAAAAAGATTTAATTTCATCTGTAATCATTAATCAGTAATCAGTAATCAGTTAAGATTTAAAATCAAAGCAAACATAATTATTAGAAGTTTAATTTGTAGAACTAACAGAAGTGATATTTGAGATTGTATTTGTCATATATTTTAGCAATATTATTTTCTCGCAAATATAAAAAGAGAATGAAAATGCGTCTAAGTTTGAAATTACTTATCAAAAAGTTTAATAAATTTGAAAATAAGAAACGAAATAGAATTTGAAAAAAGCGACAGACCATTTTATTTTGAAGTATTAAACAGTTTACAATGATAATTTAAAGTATTAAACAGTTTACAAATGACACAATTCAGTGATAATTTAGTGAGTGAAATGTTTACAAATAGAATTTTTAAATAGTTCAACTCTTTAAATCATTTCAATTTTCCATTAATTTGTTGAAAATTATATTCACATAAAATTTAAATAAGAAAATTTTGAGTAAGGAAAATATTTTGGCTTAATTTAAACTTCACTCGAATTTTGCCTTCCGCAAGTAAGCTAGACTGTCAAACATTTTAAAAAACATTTCAAAAGTATTAAATAAACATTTTAAAAATTGAACATTGCAAAATTTCAAAATAAACTTATGCTATGAAGGAATATCAACCAGAGCTATCCATCCAATCATAATTGATGAAATGCTGAAAGTTTTTTAATATTTTTTTTTTTTTTTTTAAAAAAATCTCCAATGATAAATTTGAGAAATTTCGAAAACTGATAGCGTATATACAGTAAATTTTTTAAAGTTAAATATCTTCATAAAAACTTTTTTTATATTTCGATGAAAAAATTTTTTTTCATTTAATTAATTTAATATTTTAGCTAAAAAATTTTACCTTGCATAACTCGGATTGCTGATAATCATAAGTCTAATGCGTTAAATGAAACCTTTTATTAAATTAAAATGAGTTAATAAATAAATTATTTTGACTATTTGAAAAAAAAAAAAAAAAAAAAAAGTGACAACATTTCAGCTTTACGAAAGAGGCATATAAGAGAGAAAATAGAAGTAAAAAGGAGGATTCTAAGAGTTTTTTTCTTATAAAAAAGACCTTTAAACTAGCGTTACAGTACTTTTTCAAATAGCTTTAATTAATAATTAAAATTTTTCAAAAAAATTTTTTTTTCTAACTTTCAGAAGGCTGAAAATCAATTTATTGTTGCTTAGCTATGCTAAATATTAACTTACTTTTTAACAATACCAAATAATGAAAAAGTAACATTTACAGGAAAATTCGAAAAAAATAGGAAAATAAACAGACCAGCAGAATAGCTAGAAGGAAAAAATAAATTTGAAAAAGATACTTTAATAAAATATTCTTACTTAGTTACAGATGAAAATATGAATTTGAAAATTAAAATTTTATGTCTAATAAATTAATCAAATATAACAAAAATACAAAAAAAAACAAAGCATTGAGAGCTATTGTGTTGCTAAAAGTAGAATTGAAATAATTGATATAATAGAAGCAGATGAAATAAATAAGGTAAAAAGTGATTTGTGACAAATAAATGAGTTTTTACTTTCATACATTCCTTGGCTACAACTTAACTTAGAGATATAGCATGCAAAAATATGATTAAATTACTTGAAGAGATACTTTTTAGAAAGTTATTCAATAAGACTTCGAGAATTGATTACAAGAAATAAGGGATCAATTGAAAATTTATTTGATCGTACGCCTTAACCAAATTGAAGAAATAAGTAAAAGTATTCGTAAATTTTTATGAGTTAAATAATCCTAGTGTATAAAATTTTTTTGATGTCATGATCTCGGGAAGTCTCAGCAAGAAATGCCAACTCACTAGAGAATCATGAAATTTTTGCCGAGAACATAAATCTGATCTGCTTTCAGGAATAGTTTCAGGATAAAGAGTAATATATGCTATAATGCAGGATATAGATGAAAACAGGTCAAGATAAAACTGTGTGTAACCGGAAAATGTATGTTCATACCGAAAGATATCAAGGCTTCTTTCTAGACTTAACCGGAAGAAGACTTTTCGTTTTCAATTTTTTTTTTTTTTTCCGCTTACGAAGAATGTTTTAGCAAGTGGTGGCAGAAAATTGAAAGCCAGAAATTGCATCTTGTTAACATTGTTAAAGTAAGACTTAAAAAGTTTAATTTAACAATTTTCCTAAATTTTGTTTTTCCAAACTTTTCTACTATCTAATTTGTCTTCCTCAAATATTTTCCATGCTATTTTATTTTAGCCTTGATCTTTAGAATAGATTATTAAGTTAAATACATCTCTTTCATCTTTAAATTTCTTTTAAATCTGCTGTTTTATTAAATCATCATCTATCCTATCTGAAATTTAAATTTGATTTACCAAAGTATTTTTTGATCTGAAAAAATATATTGTACAGTTCATTATCCAGGATAATAAAAATGTAATCTTTTTTTTTTTTTTTTTTTTTTTTTTCATACAAGTCAAATAAAACTTGTTCATCTGATTCAGTAACTTTTGAGCTATTTTATTTCTATTAGATAGATTCCTTTAATTAATTAAGCAATATCTAACATTAATTGTCATTGATTTGAAATACAGTAGTGACACCAAGCTAATAGATCATAAGAAAAAAATTGAATATATAATAAACAACTTACATCAGTGATTGTTTTTGGTATAAAATAACTCAAAAGAAGAAGGCAAAAGTTGACTGAGACCTAAAATTGCTAATAATCTAACGGATAAATTAATTATGCACAATTAATTACTTAATTATAATGTAATCAATTTTTGGGCAATCTGTAATTTCAATTTCGATCATCGATAGAGCTTAGCAATTTCACTCGTTTAGTTGCTTTTTGTTTGATATTTGTTTATTTCAAAACATTATTATACGCTTGATTTAGCTCGACTGTTTATGCCAAAAATTTTTGTTGATAGTAAGTTATGCAAAAAAAATTGGGCCATAATTTAGCGTAGTTTAATTATTTGATTTTAATAATTTAACATTTTTTTTTCTTTAGTTTAATTGAAAATTGAAATTTTTTTTGTTTAAATAGTTTTAAAAAATTTTTAAAAGAAATGTGCAACAAATTAGTGCATAATTTGAAATTAAAAAAAAAAAATGAAAATCTTCAGGAATATGTGGTGATATGTTTTTAAATGAAATATTTGGCCAAATATAACAAATTACGCTTCTTCTCTGGCGTAACGTATGATCAAGATGGTGACAGCGTACGTGATAGTGATGATATCATCAAGTAAAATTAATCTTTTGATTTAAATTCATCTCTTCGTTTTTTTTTTTTTTTTTTTTTTTTTTTTTGTAGAAAAATTCATATCACATAATTCAAATATACTATTCTTTCATAAATCACTTTGACACTTCAGAAAAAGTGATCCGTAAGGAAAAAATTTGAATTGTTTGATAAAGATAATTGATGCATATTGAAGAAATTGCAGAGTTTTTTTAAATCAGAATATATTCAATCAAAATGATATCCCAGTTTAGAATAATTTAATTGTAAATTGATCAAAGGATGATCAAAAGATCGATCAATTCTGATATCTTTTCAGTTTGATAAGATTTATTTCTGACTTACACTAAATGATTGAATGCTTTTCAAAATATATTTGCAAGCATATTGCATTACAAAAATAAAAAAATAATGCATATTTGAAGAATTTGTTTAAAAAAAAGTTTTTCAAAATTTGAAATGCATAACACTGATTAAAAAATGCTTCATTCTTACATTAAATTTATTTATTATTCTATTACTTGTTATGTCTAAATAAAAAAAAAAAGTTTTTTTTTTTTTTTTTTCAGAATATCTCTATGATAATATAGCTCGAATGTGTGATAACGAATTATTAACTGGAATAGAATTTATCACTGATAGAAATATTTGATCAGATGTGGAAGCAATCCCAACTACGAACTTCATCAAGAACATGGTAAATAATTTTTGGTGACATAAACAATATGTGACATTTTCTCATCAGTGATATTCAATTTGCAATTTGGTACAAATGTAAATGAATTATTGAAAGTTAGTAATTTAAGAATCCTTTAAAAATAATCAAATAATGTTGGATGAAAAATTAAAGATTGTTAGCGATTAGAGAGTGAGTAAGGCATTGGCATAATAAAATTGAAGAATTTTGTAAATGAAATAAATTAAATAATTATTAAAACTGAGTTGACTCATGTTAATCTATCATTACGATTATAGTCCAAGTAAATTGAATTGTTTAAGTTTAAAAAATTCTTTTTTGAATTTCAAATAAGTTTTACTTTTAGAAATTTTTCTTTTTGAAAGAAATAACACACTTTGCAACATTTGCAAATTGTTTGATTTTTCATTGTTAATTTTCCCTTCAATTTGAAAAAAACAAAAAATTCTCATAAATTAAGCAAAATGGATAAATCATCCTCATTCAATCAATAAATTTCGATTTTTTTTTTTCGATTTAGGTGGTTGTAACTTATAACTCATATGAATCACTGTTTCGGTCATTTTGGTTTTTTTTTTTTTTAAATACATTATTTTACTAAAATTAGATCAGATTATTTGAATTCCAGTAAATTTAAATTTCAAAATTTTCATCGAAGCATATAGGCTTACAGGAGATGCAACTAGTAAGCATTTTTTTTAGTATGCTAAGAGAGTAAATAATTTATTATTCTAGAATAGTCGTTTGAGATCTTGAATAAAGGTAAGTAACAGAAATAGGTAATAGGTAGCAGTATGAATAGAAATAAATTTATTAGTTAAAAGAAATGCTTGCTTAAATAGTTCTGTTGTTATTAAATGATTAGCTTATATAGCTTATAGTGTTAGCATAAAAATTTCTGCTAAATTACCATTGCGTGTAATTTCAATGATTTGTTTTAAAGGTAATTCCGTGAAGCATTGAAAGCATATTGTAATTTTCATAATGTAACTTAAAAAGCTTTAGCGACATAATAAAAAGTAAACTGAAATATTGTAATATTATATTTTAATATAATTATATTACGTCAACTTCAGTATACATTTATCTATTTGTTAGCGATCTTCGAGACTGAATTGATCTTCGGCAGATTTGCATTTCCGATGGAGACAACACTGGGGTCATTGATCATTAAATTAGCACTTCAATGCTGTTTAAAGTTTTTGTAGCGGTGATATTCTTTAAGGCTGCTTTTATAAATTTCATTGAAAGTAACAAATGAAAGGTTTGATAGTGAAAGTTTGTGGATAATTAGAGGATGATACTTCGGATGTTGCCATCAGTGACATCCGGTATGCTTTGACATTCCTAACAGAGAAACATAAGACAGATATATGTCTTTGCCTTTTTCTTTTTTTTTTTATTACATTGAAGTTAATCGTTCGGTTACGGTTAGCCAACAGCGTAGAACACGTTAATAAACTTTAGCTAAACCGTATTTTAATATTTAAACCATAAAATGACCACATCATATATGTTTAAAATTCAACTATTAAAGTTTGTAATTAAATTTTGCGCAAAAATTCATCAGCAAAAATTATGAAAACTTTCAATTAATCATGGTTTTAATTCAATTTAAGAATTAAAATTAAATTTTATTTCAAATTTAAATTTTTAATTTTTTAAAAATTTTAAAATTTGTAATAGTTTTCTTACATTAAACAAGGAAATTGGTTCTAAATTATCAATTTTAATTTTAATTAAATGCTGAATCTGCTAAAAATTGCAATTAATTTAAAGAAAAATAAATATTTAAGACTTAGTTGATTTTGAAATCCTGTTTGTCAGTATGTAACACTGAAATCTGTATGTACATTATTTTTATAATGTGTTGCATAATTCTTTTTGCTCTATCTATCCAAGATTTTCCCCGACTTGTAACACTTTTTACCAACAGTTTCTAGTTTTTTGCTATCTTAAAAGCATATTTTTTTCACTCAAAGCTCTCGATAAGTTTGCAGCTATTAATATTTTAGCATCTATTAGTTAATTCATTAATAAAATCCATGTTACTGTTTAATATGGCTGAAAACGATTTGGGCTGGTTAGTTAATGCACAGCTCAGCCGGTAGAGCAGCTGGCGTTTAATCAGTAGGTTGAGTGGTCGATTCTCGCCAGGACCACACTACTAAATTGTAAGGAATAATTATGGTGTGGAAGAGGAGATATTGGTTCACTAGTTTGAGAGGGGGAACTCCATCACTAAAAAAAAAAAATGCCGATCATTGGCAGAAAACAAAAGAGAATTATTGGTCAGCCCCCTAGTGATCGGAAAAAAATTGCTGATGAAGTAAGAATGAGGGGGATGAGCGCAGGATTTTTCTACTGGTCTGAATTATATGCCCCCTTCAAAAGGGAAACCCAACCAACGACATACTTTAGTGGAAGTGAATGGTGAGAGAATGTGTGTACTTTGCATGAATACGCAAAAAAGGCTATTGTTTATCATTCATTGAGTAACATTCTTTTTCTGTTTTTCTGATTAAGAATTTGATCATGAAAAATATCTAAATTCCAGTGTTACGTACAGACAAGCAGGATTTCAAAACAAATCTCTTCTTAATCTAAGTGAAATATAGTAACCAAGCGTTCATGTAGATACTAATGAGCAGTTTAGTTGTAGTTTATACGACTTTTTCAAATGTGAAAAAATGTTTCTGAAGAATTATTAAACAAGAAATTAAGTACATGTGCAAATATATTTTCTAAAGTGAATTCTCTTTACTTGTGAAAAAGCGAAACTAAGAGTAGTTGTGAAGTAATAGCAGTTATGAACCAAACTTAAATCTAATTTACAAAATCTAATTCTAATTAAGTGCCAAAACCACAAAAAATGACAATTCATTAAAAAAAATAAATATTCAAAACTTCATTGATTATTTCATATGCATTGCACTAGAGACGGTCATATATGGTGTGGTCATTTTATAGATTAAATATTAAAATACGCTTTTGTAACTAAGTTTTGCGCAAAAATTTATCAGCAAAATTAATAAAACTTTCAATTAATCATGGTTTTAATTCAATTTAAGAATTGAAATTAAATTTTATTTCAAATTTAAAATTTGAATTTTATAAAAATTTTAAAATTTGTTACAGTTATCCTACATTAAACAAGGAAATTGGTTCTAAATTATCAAATTTAATTTTAATTAAGTGCCAAAACTACTAAAAATAGCAATATTTTGAATTTAATTGGTTATGTTGTATGCATTGTACCAGTGCTAGTCATCTATGGTGTGGTCATTTTATAGTTTAAATATTAAAATACGCTTTTGTAATTTAGTTTTGCGCAAAAATTCATCAACAAAAAAAATAAAACTTTCAATTAATCATGGCTTTAATTCAATTTAAGAATTAAAATTAAATTTTATTTCAAACTTAAATTTTTGAATTTTTTAAAAATTTTAAAAATTAGTAATAGTTTTTGTTCGCTTATAGATCCTTTCCCATTTAACGTTAATGAAAAAAGACCAAAAAACAACAACAACATCATTGTGGTTTCACCTATAAATTTTGCTTTTTTAATTTTCATCATTTTTAATTTACTTACCTCACTTTCTGATAAAGTAATCAAACATTGGCAAGTGCTGATTTATTCAAAATTGTGGAAAAATCCCGATAAGAATAGAAAAATAATTTATGTAGAAAGTTATTGTCTGACTTCATTTAATACAATTGGTTGTTCAGCTTTTTCTGAACGAATACAAAAAAAACGAAAAATGAAAAACGAAAATTCAATAGAACAAAATTAACCAAATGCTAATGAATGAAAAGAAAAAGGTTTTCAATTTTTAAAAAGATGGATTATTCCTGTAAATTTTACGAAATTTTGCTTAGTTTAAGCCACTGAATTTTAACAAGAATAACTGTCTATTTGATTATAACAATATTTATAAAAGACTGAATAGACTTTTTGATAATTTCGGAAGTCTTTATAAAGAACTATAGAGAATTTTGTCACACAGTGTGTAACATTTATCATTTCCAAATTTTTCCTTTTTCTACCACTTTCTGTTTCCTATTTTTTTTTTTGCTTGAGCACTTCATGAATTCATAATTTGAACCAACAAAATAAATGTTTGATAGTTCGGATTGATAGAGTTGTCATCTTTTAATTTCGATGCATCATTGTGAATTAATGTAATAATTGTTAAGAAAATAAAGATTAAAATATGTACAGTAATTATAGTATGATTTTTAGATATTAAATTATCCAAACAAATTCCTATTTAACTGAGCAATAAAACAGTTCATATCCTTTCGTTCATCATCGAACATATTTGAGTCATAAATTAGAATGAAAATAATCGTTTACATTGAGTATTTTATCTCTCAGATGAAATTTTGCAGAGGGAAAAATTATCTTCTTTGCAATGCATAGCTGGAAAATTATTATGGAATTGCTTGGTGGATTCAGTATTTGTCATTTAATTTTATTCGCAAATGAATTGAATGGAATTAGTGCTGGTACAGTACATAGCAAAATGCTATATAATGAAGGAAGACGCATACTACGAGCAGCAAGACCAAGAAGAATAGCAAGGTTGACAACAACAACAGCGGCAACAACAACAACAACAGCAGCAGCAACAACAACAACACAATTTGAAGTAAACAAATTTTAAAATAAGAATGGCACCTCTGTCCAGTATTTTAAATTGTTGTCGAAATGGTAACGTTGCTATTAGATCCATCACAACGATTACAAATGAGACACAATGGACATATCATAAGGTTTGATTCTGCAAAGATCTTAGCAGAGTTACTTATCAGTTCAGTAGAATATTTCAAGATAATGTGATAACGAGCTATATGTTTAGCTGATGGAAGTATTGGCCTCTCTGAAGCAGCGACATTCGAACTGTGCACCGCAACAACAAATCATTCAGGAAGTAAGTCGAGAATTAAAATTATGACTGCTTCAAGCTTTTTCAACAATCGAACTTATAAAACATGAAAATATTTGAGTGATAGAGAGGATAGCTTTTTGACATAATTAAACATAAAAATTTTGAAATATGAAAACAATACGCTAAAAAATTTTGTTATCAAAGAAAGAGAGCAAATAAAATGCAAATAAATAAATGTTTCATTTTCACAGCTCGAGAAAGGCATAATCAAACATAATACATTAGAGGACTATTATTTTCTTCTCGATGAAGAATTGCGTGGAGAATTGATCAATTTAATAGCTATCGCATCCTCTGTAAGTGAAATCAAAATTTTTTAGCAATGGTTATTGATTTTAAAAAATAAATTATAAAGAAAAGGTTTGCTGTAAAGGTTCAATTTTCAAAGGTTGAAGAAATAAGAAATTTTAAAATTCTTTTGTTATGATAACGATAAAAATTTCTAGAATTTTTGTTAATATTTTTAAATTTTGATTGATAACAATCATCAGGAAGCACCAGTAATGCGTGTGTAACCGATATGATAAAGGAATGAAAAGTTCTAAAGAGATAATTGTTCACAACTATGGTTCGCTTAAGTAACTAAAGGTCATGAAGTAAGTATCACTTCTTTATATGCAATTTCAGGTTACTGATAGCTCATTCGTAGTGGAAAACGATAAAAACGATCTTGCAAAATTCATTTTGGAGAATTTCCTGGAAGACTGAAATGGCGTAGTATGAGAAATGCTGAATATATTCAATTTTGTTGTTATAAATTTAAATAAAATGCCTCACTCTTTTCATATTTAATTTGCGTAACTCTCAAAAGCTTAAATATATGCTTCAACAATTGATAACCTAGTAATGGAGTTATATTGTAGTATTATGAGTAAACAAAACTTACAAAAGTCTGCATTGCGTTAAACATATCAATGCGAAAAATGATACATAGTTGGCGCAGATAGCATAGCTTTCCGATTTTGACACGTTGAAGTGAAAAAGTATTTTTGATATCATTCCTTCTTCGAGAGTGATATGATAATTGATAAAAGAATGGAAATTGAAGCTAATGAAGTAATTATTGGTGAAATTGATTACAGTGACAGCTTAAAATTATCTAATTCCTAAATCATCCGATATGCTTGCATGCGTTCATTATAGTATTTACATTTCTTTCTGTCATTCATTTTTTTTTTCCCAATGAATTAAACGGAATTTCTAAAATATACCGGCATACACTGTTGTTAATTTCACGAAGTGACCTGATTGAATTAATGATAACAAGGAATTTAGCATGAAATCTTCAGTTATGAAGCTATTTTGCAGAATTCTTTTTTCCTATTTATTTACAGTAAGGTTAATATGAATGGTTTAAAGAAGCTATCACTACGATGGGTTATTCCTCAAATTTATCACAATAAATTATCTTTTGCAATGTTTTTTTTTTTTTTTTTTTTTTTTATTTATTAAAATAAGTGAAGAAAAAGATAACAGAATTTGAATGCTTTTTGTGAATCATACAGCCACAATTAAACTGAGTTAGCTTTTATGAAACGAGTTCAGATTGCAGTTCAATTAAAAGAATAAAAGACATTGGATGAGAAATTTTTTGAAACAACAAAATTCCATCTAAATTTTGTCACAATTAATAAACCTATGACATGTCTGTATGAAACAAATTCACATATTAGATCAAAGTTTGATTCTTCTTGCATAGTAGCAATGCAATATTTAAAGCTCACTTCTATTAATAAATACCACCGAAAAGTGTTGAATTGGTCGTGCGCAATATGACAATGACAGTAAATTACATTGCTAATGAGCGATTGCAAAGATTTTTCTTCGTAAAATCAATCTAATGAATGCAAATTCATTGCTTAAGCAGTAAAGTCTTTGACAATATCACTAAAAATAAACAACTAAATGACTGTGATGCAATTGTTTTGTCAACTGTCACTCATCTTACTTCCTTGTCACTTGTTTTTAAATTAAGAAACAAATAAAGCTACAAACTTTAGCAGTAAAATCAGTTTATTTTTAACAGTAATTTTAATAATTTCGAAAAAGAAAGAAAATAAAAATAATAAGTAATTAATTCCTTAAATTGATCGTATCGTACCTGTTAAAATAAAATTAAATTATTCGATGAGTAAATGAATTATTCAGTAGATGTTTACAAGAATTGAACTGAAAAACTTTGATTGAAAAAAAGAAAACAAAAGTGACAGTATTTTCGAGACAATAACGTTTCTTTAAAATATTTGTTGTAAGAGAATTCCAAAAAAAAAAATTTCTTAAATAATTTTTACCATTTTCAAGCATTCTTTCCCACAGATCTTTCGAAAATTGTCTGAAAAAAAAAAACACAAATGATATTTTCAAAATTCACTGTGAATCGATTTTCATTCCTTAATAATTCATATATCTAACAATTCTTTCTAAAAATTAAATGATAAAAAAGCATCAAAATACATACAAAGTAATGGTCAGCTACTTCACTGCCAGTTAATTCAATAACCTTCCGACGATTTTCCTGAACAGTTTTCCTGACATATTTTTCTGTCCATACTATAGCAATTGGCAAGGTTAATGCGTATAATGGAGTTAGTTGTACACCTGAATTTCAGTAAAATTGTTTATAAAACTCACCTGCATAAATATTTCCGAACTCACACTACCAGTATTAAAAAATTACTTCATAAAATAGTTTCTAAAAATTTCCTTTTCTTAATCTAAAAATTTCCTTTTCTTAAATTTCTTTTTCTTAAACGATGCAAATTACACGATGATGACATAATTTTAGAAATTCGATACGATATCGATAACTCAGCAATGTTTCAAACTTTCAATAACAAAATTATCGTAAGAGTTTTGTAGTGGTAATATATTGTATCTATTCTAAAGTTTTATCTTTAATATATGTCCATATTAAAATTTCAATTTCGAATTAGTAAACTAAATCAGAACGAATGCAATCATTGATATGCGCAATAATAAGGTCAATATTTTCGTTGAACTGTGTTCAAATTTTAGTATTTCATATTTTTTGCATTTCAAGTCTTACACCTCTACTATTAGCTGAATTAATTTAACTTTAATTAAAGTTCAACTCATACTGGTCCATGCTTATTTATTCACATATACAAATCTTTTCTAAATTCAAAGAATCTGAATTATATTTGAAGATAAAACGAACATTCCAAGTAAATAGCAGTTGTGAGAGAAAATTTGGGAAAAGTGGAATTGAAAGTGTAGTACAGACAGTGTGCACTCATGTAAACTGCCAGGAGTAGCGCATGAAATGCTACCATTGGTGATAATGTCTGAAGGGAATTGATATTTTCCATGATTTGATAACGATGTGATAAGTTAACGTGAATTTTGTTTCGATGTAATCTCTGAAATTTGGTAGGATGAAATCTGTGGGTTTTCTTGTGTCAACTACAAAGTAAAATTTAGAGCAAAAATTAATTTAAAAAGATAACCTTTGCCATACATTTTTCTAAGAATGTAATCGAATGCAAGTAAATATTCATGTCAAAAGTTTAGATGAGGTAATTGGGCGGAAATTAACTTTACAATGCATTTTCATTTATGATAAGCAAGGTCATTTATGGGACAGATTAAAGAATGGCCTATTTTACTTCTTCTATTTTTTTTTACCTAAATTTTAGGTATTTCAACTGGTTTTAAATGATAAATATTTGACTCTTGGAAAAAAAAATTTTTTTAGCAAAATTTAAGAATTTCCTTTTCTTAATAATAATTTCTTAAGTAATTTATCTGTTCATGGATATATTTGCATAATTTTAGCGCCAACTCATTTTTTTATAAAAATGTATTTATTTGTTAGTATATGAGAAGCTTAAAATTCGATTAATTGATTGCCTTGTTAATAGAAAATAAAAGTGGAAGAACTAATGCTGAGATGAAAGAAATGGCTGCTTGAAAGCTAAGAACCACAATAACTTTTGCGCTTGCTTTATTACTTGCTCGAGCGCAGTAAACCATCATTCCATATTTAAGCAATGAAAAATTGCCATAAAGAAATAAAACGCACCCAATTCCAATTACAGTCTGAAAAATTGTATTTGCTATAGAAAATATTACAGATTTGTTGAAATGGTAAGCTTAGGATTTATGTTGCTTTAAATATATCATTTGAGACTGTATCTCAAAGCATCAAATTAACATCATTATTTAGCCAAATTTGTTAGACATTCTGCATCTCATTAATATAAACGAAATCAAAATTTAGTTCAATAATATTTTCAAATTATCAATGGATGAAAACATTTTGATATTGTTTAATTTAACTTAAATCATTGATGAAATTTTTTCAATTCTTCATACCTGTGCCATGATAAGTACAACAGCGATAGTTTTTCCAAAATTTTCGTATTTCGATGACAAAAATGTAGCAATAGCTCGCTCACTAACTATTGCAGGTACAGAAGCAACATTTAAGGACGATGTTAGAATAATCGGTCCTCGTATCATCAAACATTCCCACGGGAACATCATATACCCGCAGGGATCAGTGTGTTTCTTCTGATATCCCACTAATATATAGGTGTAGGTAAATACTCTATAACAAAATTCATCAGAAATTTCTACGGAAGAGTACAATCAACATAGTTCTTTGAGTTTTTATTTTGTCTAAAATGATTAAAAGGGGCTTTTCGAAATTAGTGCGTGCGTCATTTGCTTAGTGAAAAGCATTTTATCAAATATTTCCTCTTCTTCTGCATTCTTTTGTTATTGTTTTGCTTTTTTCACTTATTATATATGAATGATTTCTTTGTGCTTAATTTTTAGTTGTAACATTATTGTGTTACTGCCTTGTAGGTGATAAAAAGGAAAGGACAAATTTTAATTTTTCCATAAACTTGAAAAATGAAGAAACAACCTTGCAGCACAGTGAAGAATAAGCCATAACTGATGTGTGATAATCAAAATTCGAGTATTTTGATGTAATAAAATACGATTTGTTATCTTAAGCATTACCCATATTTCAACAACAAATCCTGTCGCTGATATGATAATCCCAACAATGATAATAGCGTTGAATGCGACACTATTAGCCAATTCGCTTGCTTGCTTACATGATTCCATATTTATAATTAGCCTAAAAATTTTGCAGCTTACTACTTTTCAATTTTAACAATTAAAATTAAAATATCTTCTTATAGGAAGATATTATATGTAAACAAAAAAATTAAAGATTTAATTCAGTAGGAAAAAAATTTGTTGAGAACATTTGATAATTTTGATAATAAGCAAGAACTTTGATAATAAGCAAGAAATCACCTTTAATTAACAGCTGATGTTGTTAACTAAAATTCTGTTGACAGATGTCAAACGTTCCTTCCAGGCAACTGTATGAAGATGAAAAGAGAATGAAAATGATGCATGAAAAGCTTCGAATATTTTATGAGAAGAGTTTTGATGACTTATTAAATAGTCCATGGAAAGCTTAATAACATTAAAGCTAGAATTGTGTGAATACATCAATGATTTTCATGGGAGAATTATAAAACTTCGTCAATTTATGAATGGCAGAATTTTGTTTTCAATAAAGAAATGTGAGAAATGATTGATATTTAAAGAGAGAAAAAAAAATGAGATAAATGGTATTTTTCTGTAAACACTGGGAAGTTTAGAGATGGTTTAATTTTTTCTTCTATTTCATTTTTCTACAATTTCATTTCTCTTCTTTCACCCGTAATTTATAACTTTTGTACTGAATAAGATATTTGATATCAACCACTGATTTGCATTATTTCACTTGGTCCAAATGATGTTTTGAAATGGACTCAATCACTTCATTATTCGGATCAATCTTCATCAATATTTTTGAAAAGCTTTTGAATTGATTGGAAGAAAACGTAAACTCTTCAGGATAGTTTTTTTAAATATTCTTGCTTCAGCAGTTGTCAGCTTACAATATTAATATTTTGAGCTTAATGATCATTTATAAAACTTGAAAAACAAGTAAAGAATTGGTTAAATAATTAAATTTTATGATAGTAATTCAAGTTTTTAGAGTTCTGCTGCTATTAATAAACACGATAATTTAAAATGAATTCTGTCCATTACTTTATTTATTAATTTGTGGAAAAATTTTAATTTCTCACGAAATATGGCTTGAGAAATTCGCACATGAAAAGATAAAAGCAAAATTATTTACTTAAGCATTAATCATGTTTTCTAAAAATTATTACCTGATATTCTTCACTAACATTGTTTGATGCCTGAACACTATTTATCCTTTTGATTATATTAGCACATTAGTCCTTGCTTTTTTTCTGCTAAATTTGAGAGCTTCAATCCATCATTTTTCGTTCCTGTGAATATTCTGCAATTCATAATAATTAAAAAAGTCAATCATGGTGGCAAAGTTACGTCGCATTTAGGACTTTTAGTGACCGTTTTTCCTTTATTGCAAATCTTAAGGTAAATATGAAATTCTTCAATCTAGTAAACAAATTAAATGCAATACTAAACGATACTTTCAAGATTTTCCATTTCTGCGAAACGATTATATTTATATTTGACAGTTGTAAATTTAAAAAAGCACATGGATTAAATAAAGCTGAGTGATCTGTGATGCAATTAACACTCACTTCATTCTACCAATAAACCAATTCCTTCACACATGATTGGTGGAAATAATTGCCTTATAAAACTGGTCATTAAGTACTAAAAAGCATCAATCAGAGTGACCAAAACAAAAACCATGAAAAAGTGCGATTTGTAAGCTGTTTCGTCGATATAATCATTTATCAGAATTTGAAAGAAGATAAAGATGATGAAAAGGAAAAAAAGAGGAAGAAGAGTACGGATTTGATGATTGTCTACTTTGATCTGAAATAAAAGTTGCTTAAAATAGATGGGTAACGTTAGATGAACCAAAAGTATACGAAATATTTGATATTGTAGAAATTCCCCAAATGATATCATTAAAAACCAATTCAATAGCAAAGAAGTCAGCTGAAGGGGAGATTTATTTAATTACACTTACAATATTATATGACATTAGATAAACTATGTGAACAACAGAATGTCGGGGGAAAAAAATTAAAACATTATTTAACTAAGAAATTTAATTAACAAACTTTTTAATCTTCATTCAATGTAATTCATTCATTGTCACATAGAATTAGTGGGGAAGATTAATGACAAATCTTGATCCATCCAAACTCCTTCATTAATCTGCAATAGATTTATTAATTGCACAAAATAATTTCGGATATTTTTAAAAAAAAAGTGCAAATTGAAAAGATAAAATTTAAAAATTAATGTATAACATCAACAACCTAACCAACTTCATAAAATAAAGACTTTACTTGACTGTCAGCGTCATCACTTCTATATCGATCAAGAAAAATTTGACTTATATGCAATCACTTTTCCTATATATGCTGGATGGACCCTTCAAGAAATTGTTGAATCCAGCAATTCCACATGATCTCCCTTTTGGAATATTAAAATTCTAATCAACAGACGTATGAAATTTTTTTGATGAATATGAAGTGATCATATTCCAATCTCAAACTTTCACTCTTATCGATAAGGCTTATTAAACAAACTAAAGCTGAATTAATGAAAATATAATTCAGCTCATATGTTCATATGAAACAGCTCATACGAAACTCACATTTTTGTTTAACAGAAAGTAGGCGATTTGTTGATAATTAATTATTAATTATGAAGAAAAGCCCCATATAAGATAAATCATTGAAATTTGGTTCTCAAAAAACCTGTCTTTCCTTCTCCGTAAAACCTAATCTTCAACTTACAAGCCTCGATTCACAGACAGTTAATTTTCGAACTTGTATTTCCAGCCAGCTAATAGTGATAGTTCTGTAAGCATGTATTTGACAATAAAGGATGTGGCAATTCAACTGTCGTTTATGAATTGATTCTGGCTGCATCAAAACTCGAGTTTCAGTTTTCTCTGCGCAGTAGCTTAAAAAAATACCAAATTGTAGAAAAATAGAAAAATAATGAAAATGACTAGATCACACCAGCATTTATGATAAATGCGAGAGAATATATTGCTCAATTCATCATGTTACTGAACATATTGCTTTGATTTTGAATGTTTATAATAAGCAATATCTCGAAGAAACTAGTTGTTGGGAGTAAATAACTTGAATAAATAATAATAACCACTTAAGATGTAATTAGTTGGTACATAAGAATTAAGTATATAATATTACTACTCTTACAGAAAGTTTACTGCCAAATTCTGTATAAGTGATCACGTATTTTTTCTATTAGTTTAAATTAAGTTGATTAGAAATTTAGAAACAAAAATTAGACGTGTTTATACATATTTCTGAAGCACATTCTTCATGTAAATAAGACTAATTAAACTAGAGATCTCTAGCATACAAACATTTTAAACTATCATCTATTTACTCACCTAAACAAAAGATGGACAACCACACATTATTTTGTACGAAAATAGAAAATTGAATCAAAATCATAAAACGAAAACCATTTGAACAAATTGCACTTGTTTTCCTATACAAGATCATAGCTGTTGCACCCAATAAAAAAAAAAAAAAAAACATCACGGTGATAAAAACAATGAAACCATTGTAATCGAAAAACTTAACAATCAAGAGAATGAAAGTTGTTCAAAGTTTGAGCTAAATTTTTGGGGAGGAAAACTAATGAACCATTGGGGGCAAATGACTAAGCAAGGAAAAAGAAACTTAAGGAAATGTAACATAATTTACTGACAGGTCAAATATCTTCAGAACTAATATTGACCCAAAAATTATGCGCATTATCACCTATTTCCTATTACATTCATTTCTTTGAAGCAATAAATAACAATGTCACTATTTCAAAATAAGAGAAAAGTTCAAAGAATAATGGTTGAGGTAAAAGTTTAAACTCAAAATTAACTTGAATGCTTAAAAAAGAAATTAACTTACTACATTGGTATTCCTGCATTTAATTATGTAGCCGAAATCCTAAAATCAGTCATGTCTGATTTTGAATTTCGAAAGAGTATATATGTAGTATACGTCCAAAAAAATTATTGTACGTTTTGGAATACAGCGAAGGTTAATAATAACTACAGATCAGCAAAATATTTCTATTTGCAGAAAAAATATCATGATAATTCAATTATAAAAGTATGAAAAGAGAGATTACAACATCCATGGAGATTACAATTTAAACCTCTGAATGATTTAAAATCAGAACCCACATTAAGGCTTGTTTCAATATACTTACTTCATATATTCAGCAAACTGCGCTTGATAGAAATATTCCACAGGAACAATATATGCAGGACAACGAGAATTAACATTGCCAGATCGATCCAAATTTGCTAAAACTTTTTCCAAAAATGTATCCCAGCAATAGCAACACACCACTGCTTCCTGACTAACCACTGGCACTATAGTACGACAACGCAACGCACAAATTTCGACGACATTATCAAATCTGCAAATGATAATCAAGATCCATCCTTCACTTATGTTTGCGAATAGTAATTAATTAATTGCTTCTTGGATATCTTCCTACTGTCCAAAGGATACCTCTATAAGCTATCTAAAAATAACACAAACTATCTAAAAGTAGTTAATACTAGACTTAAATATAGCCTTGTCTCAATCAATCCCACTTTCATGGACATCTGTCACCACAAATGTCACTGTGATATTGAGTTATTCAACATATTTTACACATTTGAACTTTTGCTTCGTCTATTGAGTTCTTCATATAATTATCGTCAAAAAAAAAAAAAAGATTAAAGAAAAAAAAAACTTATATAGGCGCTTACATTCTAAAAAACTGATTTTGCTCGTCTTAACATAGTACCATATCAACAAATACAACTTATATCAGAAAATATTTGAAACTTGAGAGTTGAAATAGGCAATCAGCTCTACAGATTTATTACACATTTGTAGATCGAGCTTATACACAATTCGATTAATAGAGATGGATCAAACTGATGCATCGCTACTACTGAAACCTTCTTCGAACTAAAGTAAAGACAACCTTTAATCTCACTTACTTGAATAACACAAAGAACAGTACTGCTTCTGAAACAAAAACGTTAGTGTGAACTATGTTAATGTTATTTCTACACATATTTCTGGTAAATCGATGTCGTTATCATTTTAATATTTCATTTATTTCACCAGAAAGAAGCGGAACTCAACTTACCTAACCATAACCATGTCCTATTTTTATTAATTTTAAGTCAAAAAAAAAAAATCAGAGCAAATAAAAGATGAAATACATCTCATGATAAGTATATGCTATTAAAATACAGACAATAAAAGTGAATAAAATTTCCATAAATATTTTTGTCCTTTGGAAGCAAATAAGCATGAATTCTTCATTTTAGATCTTTTATTGAAAAAAAAAAAAAAAAATCTAATGAACAAGTCCATATAAATATGGAGATGAAACAAACAAAATCACATAAGCAAGAAGACAACACACTGGTAAAAAATCAAAAATTCCTACGAAATTGATAATGAAACAAACTAATCGATAGGTTTCATAAACATCGAGTAATACTCAAAAACGATTATTTTGAATGGTATTATTATTTACATAAACGAAACTTTTATCAGCAATGAATTTGTCTCTTAGCAGAGCATTGATGAATTGATCGAATACAGCAACGAGTCATCTAAAAAAGAAATGAATTCATGCTGTATTTTCAAATGTTTACATCAAAGATTTAGTATCTCTCGGATGAGTGTGTTTACTTAGCTATCTAGCGACAAGAAATGTCGTTTTTTGACACGATCAATCATTTCTATTTAATTCTATTTAATATTTTATAGAGTCGAAGTTTCACGGTTAAATTTGTATTTTTTTTTTTTTTTTTTCATATAAAGTAAATATAACTTGCTCCATGGCTGATTGCATCTCATGATCTATTTGTCACCATATAGGCAATTGTGATAAAGAACACGCCCATCGACTGTGCACATTCCTGAAAGTTTGAAAGTTAGGAAGAAAAACTGAAAATTCGAAAAGTAAACATTTAAACTTTTATACAGAAGCGAACTACATATAAACCTTAGCTTCATTTAAATTGCGTTCTAATAGTGCTAGTCATAACGTCGAATACTTTATTTGGGAATTAGATTTTATTTTCTGTAATGTATAAATCAAAATGAAACAACAGCTTTTGCATCCTTTGCAGATTTGTAAACAATTGCAAGTTGTAAACATTGGAAACATAATGAAGCTCTCGACAATATTGCTGAAAAGTTATCTAATGCCATGATTCTTCACCATTCGCATTCTATTTTACTCTCCTCTTTTAATTTCTAGTAAAAAAATCAGGTTCTAAATTCAAACTAACATTTGAAATTTTAAATTTCGATTTATAAGAAACTCTTTAGCTGAATGAATCATTTATCATTAATTCAAGTTGTGTTGCCATTGTTTCATTTGAATGGTGCAATTATTCTTTCACCATTTGGCGCAATTTTACAGAATGTCATAAATTCACTCGTTTGCTCCTCGAACTGTTTTGCACAGTTGTGTCGCATATCCTTAAATAATCCATTCCGAGTTGCTTCCAGTTACTTTCGATAATTTTTCCTCCAAATTATCAGACCACTGTGGAACTCTTAACACATATAAGTTTGCAAGCAATAAATAGTTTCCCGGTACAAACACCCATAACATCACGTGCTATGTTGTTGGTACAGTAATACATCTGCTCATATATATGACTATGGTGGATCTCTGATTATGAATCTGAGTGGATCACACCACAGTTAGCAAAGAAATAAATGAATGACATATATACATGTGCTTGTTAGAGTTATCGATTCAATTTCTGTGCTCAATTTTGCAGATTGGTTATGAATATCGATTGTCAAGAAAAATGATAAATAAATTCATAATTCTTTTCTATTTCCCGCTAAAAATTAGTTTTGCTACTACTAAAGCACCTTAAATTTACTAAATATACCGTCAAAAAAATATATAAAATGATATGAACTGATAATTTCATAATTTTGAAGCAGGAAAAGCTGAAATTAACAGGCAAATTCATTTTTTCATTTTCAAAACAGCAGAAGTTAAAATTAACATTCATTATGGATGACTTGAAATTTCAGTTTTAAATGAGAAATTGGTAAGGAAATGATAAAATACAAATTTTATCAACCTAAATTAAGGAAAAAAAAATACAAATTTTTTTACAAATTTTTTTTTTATATTTTTTTTTTTTTAAATACAAATTTTATCAACCTAAATCGATTTGATTAAGCATATTTTCACTAGAAAAAATAATTTTGCATTTTATGCAAACTAAATCTTTCACTATAAAAATTCACCTGCATGATAGATAAATATTCCGCACTTTCATTTTTCGATTTTTTCTAATTTTCTCATCAATCTTTAACAGCTAAAATCCGAATAACTGGATTCTGGAATAACTCCAACTCATATTGATCAATATCATGAAAGTAACCAACGAAATGAAATGCTTACTTCTATATTCAACCGCTCTTTTCCATTGTGAGTTTCTCCCAGCCACTTTTGCTAATTCCCCCGCCGAATTTATCAAGACCACTATGAAATTCTTAACACATACACATTAGCAATAAACAATCCCCCGGTACCAACACCCCGTACCACCATAACGCCATCTTGTTTGGAACAGTAACACATCTGCTCATATATATATATTACTATGGTGGATCTTTGATTATGAATTTGAGTGGATCACACCACAGTTAGCAAAGAAATAAATGAATGACATATATACATGTGCTTGTTAGAGTTATCGATTCACTTTCTGTGCTCAATTTTGCAGATTGGTTATGAATAACTAAGTTAAAACTGTCCACAATAAAAATATCTCAAAATTATTAACTTTGTTACTATCAGAAATTAATTGCAATGTTAATATTAGTGTTCGATGCATAAATGAAATTTAAGAATTTTCAATTTTAATTAAACTTAAAAATATAAGAAAAAGTTCATTTATTGGTAATGTTCACTTCTTGGACGGTTAGCATAATACTGAGAAGAGACATTTATCAATTGATCTGATCATTGTTTATTTCTCTTTTTTTGAGTAAAAATTAAAAAATGAGACCTGGGGGTGGTGCAATGAAAAAATTTGGTGCGAAAAGACGAATGAGATTTAAGCATAATAAAGTTGTTAAACGAAAAGTTTTGAAAGCACCGAAGAAAAAAGGAATGATCAAAGGAAAGAGTAAATTTAGACAGAAGAAAAATAAACAAAGGATGAAAAAAAGATCTTCAGAAAAAAGTAAGACGAATAGACGAAATGAATTGAATCAATTTATGATCATTTTTTTATCAATTGAATTAATTGTGGAGCTAAATATATATATTTAGGATAGGTAAAGCATATGTTGGATAAGTAAAATCAATACTGATTAAGTATAAATTAAGGATTTCAAGTTATAAATTAACTTATAAATAACAAATTAATGAAATCTAGAAGAGAAATAAGCTTAATGAACGAATGAGTGGTAGCTGGAGATAATGAATTTGTCTATAATCCATTGGTGATAAATTGAATAATTGATAAAATTGAATGATAAGTTGAATAATTGATAAAATTAAATGATAATTGAATGACTAATAAAATTTAATTCAAAAAAAAAAAAAAAAGAAAAGTACTGTAAAATATCTTTTATCTATTAAATAAACTAAAGAATTTTACAGTATGCAAAGATTTGACATTAATTTATCATTCGGAACAAATATTATTTTCATTGAAATAATTTACTGATCGATTCCCTTTCTCAATTTCTGCATGTTGCGATCGAATGGATCAAATGCAATGTTGCGAAAAAAATGCAATATAACGACCAAATGCGGTGTTGCGGCCAAATGCAATGTTGCGACCAAATGCAATATTACGACCAAATGCGGTGTTGCGGCCAAATGCAATGTTGCGACCAAATGCAATATTACGACCAAATGCGGTGTTGCGGCAAATGCAATGTTGCGACCAAATGCAATATTACGACCAAATGCGGTGTTGCGACCAAACGCAGTATTACGACCAAATGGAATATTACGATCAATTACAGCGTTGCGATCAAATGGAATATTACGACCAATTACAGCGTTGCGATCAAATGGAATATTACGATCAATTACAGCGTTGCGATCAAATGGAATATTACGATCAATTACAGCGTTGCGATCAAGTGGAATATTACGATCAATTACAGCGTTGCGATCAAACGCAGTATTACGACCAAATGGAATATTACGACCAAATGCTATATTACGATCAAATGGAATATTACGATCAAATGGAATATTACGATCAAATGGAATATTACGATCAAATGCTATATTACGACCAATTGGAATATTACGATCAAATGGAATATTACGATCAAGTGGAATATTACGATCAATTACATCGTTGTGATCAATTGCAGTATTACGATCAAATGAAATATTACGATCAAATGCTATATTACGACCAAATGGAATACTACGATCAAATGCTATATTACGATCAAATGGAATACTACGATCAAATGCTATATTACGATCAAATGGAATATTACAATCAAATGCTATATTACGACCAAATGGAATACTACGATCAAATGGAATATTACGATCAAATGCTATATTACGACCAAATGGAATATTACGATCAAATGCTATATTACGACCAAATGGAATATTACGATCAAATGCTATATTACGACCAAATGGAATACTACGATCAAATGCTATATTACGACCAAATGGAATATTACGATCAAATGCTATATTACGACCAAATGGAATACTACGACCAAATGGAATATTACGATCAAATGCTATATTACGACCAAATGGAATATTACGATCAAATGCTATATTACGACCAAATGGAATACTACGACCAAATGGAATATTACGATCAAATGCTATATTACGACCAAATGGAATACTACGACCAAATGGAATATTACGATCAATTACAGCGTTGCGATCAAATGGAATATTACGATCAATTACAGCGTTGCGATCAAATGGAATATTACGATCAATTACAGCGTTGCGATCAAATGGAATATTACGATCAATTACAGCGTTGCGATCAAATGGAATATGACGATCAATTACAGCGTTGCGATCAATTGCAGTATTACGATCAAACGAAATATTACGACCAAATGCTATATTACGATCAAATGGAATATTACGATCAAATGGAATATTACGATCAAATGGAATATTACGATCAATTACATCGTTGCGATCAATCGCAGCATTACGATCAAATGAAATATTACGATCAAATGCTATATTACGACCAAATGGAATATTACAATCAAATGGAATATTACGATCAATTACATCATTGCGATCAATTGCAGTATTACGATCAAATGAAATATTACGATCAAATGCTATATCACGATCAAATGGAATATTACAATCAAATGCTATATTACGACCAATGCTATATTACGACCAAATGGAATATTACGATCAAGTGGAATATTACGATCAATTACATCGTTGTGATCAATTGCAGTATTACGATCAAATGAAATATTACGATCAAATGCTATATTACGACCGAATGGAATATTACGATCAAATGGAATATTACGATCAATTACATCATTGCGATCAATTGCAGTATTACGATCAAATGAAATATTACGATCAAATGCTATATCACGATCAAATGGAATATTACAATCAAATGCTATATTATGGCCAAATGCTATATTACGATCAAATGGAATATTACGATCTATTACAGCGTCGCGATCAAATGCAGTATTACGACCAAATGGAATATTACGATCAAATGCTATATTACGACCAAATGGAATATTACGATCAAATGGAATATTACGATCAAATGCTATATTACGACCAATTGGAATATTACGATCAAACGAAATATTACGACCAAATGCTATATTACGATCAAATGGAATATTACGATCAAATGGAATATTTACGATCAAATGGAATATTACGATCAAATGGAATATTACGATCAAATGCTATATTACGACAATTGGAATATTACGATCAAACGAAATATTACGACCAAATGCTATATTACGATCAAATGGAATATTACGATCAAATGCTATATTACGACCAAATGGAATATTACGATCAAATGGAATATTACGATCAATTACATCGTTGCGATCAATTGCAGTATTACGATCAAATGAAATATCACGATCAAATGGAATATTACAATCAAATGCTATATTACGACCAAATGCTATATTACGACCAAATGGAATATTACGATAAATTACAGCGTCGCGATCAAATGCAGTATTACGATCAATTACAGCGTTGCGATCAATTGCAGTATTACGACCAAATGGAATATTACGATCAAATGGAATATTACGATCAAATGCTGTATTATGGCCAAATGCTATATTACGATCAAATGGAATATTACGATCAAATGCTACATTACGACCAAATGGAATATTACGATCAAATGGAATATTACGATCAATTACAGCGTCGCGATCAAATGCAGTATTACGATCAATTACAGCGTTGCGATCAAATGCAGTATTACGACCAAATGGAATATTACGATCTATTACAGCGTCGCGATCAAATGCAGTATTACGACAAATGGAATATTACGATCAAATGCTATATTACGACCAAATGGAATATTACGATCAAATGGAATATTACGATCAAATGCTATATTACGACCAATTGGAATATTACGATCAAATGGAATATTACGATCAATTACATCATTGCGATCAATTGCAGTATTACGATCAAATGAGATATTACGATCAAATGCTATATTACGACCAAATCGAATATTACGATCAAATGCTATATTACGACCAAATGGAATATTACGATCAATTACAGCGTTGCGATCAAATGCAGTATTACGACCAAATGGAATATTACGATCAATTACAGCGTTGCGATCAAATGCAGTATTACGACCAAATGGAATATTACGATCAATTACAGCGTTGCGATCAATTGCAGTATTACGACCAAATGGAATATTACGATCAAATGGAATATTACGATCAAATGCTATATTATGGCCAAATGCTATATTACGATCAAATGGAATGTTACGATCAAATGGAATATTACGATCAAATGGAATATTACGATCAATTACAGCGTCGCGATCAAATGCAGTATTACGACCAAATGGAATATTACGATCTATTACAGCGTCGCGATCAAATGCAGTATTACGACCAAATGGAATATTACGATCTATTACAGCGTCGCGATCAAATGCAGTATTACGACCAAATGGAATATTACGATCTATTACAGCGTCGCGATCAAATGCAGTATTACGATCAAATGGAATATTACGATCAATTACAGCGTCGCGATCAAATGCAGTATTACGATCAAATGGAATATTACGATCTATTACAGCGTCGCGATCAAATGCAGTATTACGACCAAATGGAATATTACGATCAAATGCTATATTACGACCAATTGGAATATTACGATCAAATGGAATATTACGATCAGTTACATCATTGCGATCAATTGCAGTATTACGATCAAATGAAATATTACGATGAAATGCTATATTACGACCAAATGGAATACTACGATCAAATGCTATATTACGATCAAATGGAATATTACAATCAAATGCTATATTACGACCAAATGGAATACTACGATCAAATGCTATATTTACGACCAAATGGAATACTACGATCAAATGGAATATTACGATCAAATGCTATATTACGACCAAATGGAATACTACGACCAAATGGAATATTACGATCAAATGCTATATTACGACCAAATGGAATATTACGATCAAATGCTATATTACGACCAAATGGAATACTACGATCAAATGCTATATTACGACCAAATGGAATATTACGATCAAATGGAATATTACGATGAAATGCTATATTACGACCAAATGGAATACTACGATCAAATGCTATATTACGATCAAATGGAATATTACAATCAAATGCTATATTACGACCAAATGGAATACTACGATCAAATGCTATATTACGACCAAATGGAATACTACGATCAAATGGAATATTACGATCAAATGCTATATTACGACCAAATGGAATACTACGACCAAATGGAATATTACGATCAAATGCTATATTACGACCAAATGGAATATTACGATCAAATGCTATATTACGACCAAATGGAATATTACGATCAAATGGAATATTACGATCAAATGCTATATTACGATAAAATGGAATACTACGATCAAATGCTATATTACGACCAAATGGAATATTACGATCAAATGCTATATTACGACCAAATGGAATACTACGACCAAATGGAATATTACGATCAAATGCTATATTACGACCAAATGGAATACTACGACCAAATGGAATATTACGATCAAATGGAATATTACGATCAAATGGAATATTACGATCAAATGCTATATTACGACCAAATGGAATACTACGACCAAATGGAATATTACGATCAAATGCAGTGTTGCGATCAAAGTTTACTTTCACTTTAACCAATGAAATTAACTAAGAAACTTCTTCGCAAGCAATAATTTTCTATTTTCTGTGCCATATTTGCTACAAGGAATTTGAAAGGCTAAAACAATGGGCGCATTCGTACCTCTAAGAAATACGAAAAAGACTATAAGCGCTTCGCCACGGAATTTTCAATTAATTTTTTATTAAACTTACCTATAAATTGGCTGACTCATTTATAGTATATATTCTAGGCTTGCAGTGGCCATAACTTCTGGCTGCTTTCCACATTTATAGGCCTAAGGACTGGAAAAATTTTTTTTTTTTTTTTGGAAGACTTATTTTTTTTTTTTTTTTTTTGGAAGACTTATTTTTTTTTGGAAAAATCTTTGGAAGACTTATTTACACTCTAATGTCTGCCATGTTGATAGCATTGTGCTCACAAGTTGACAATTTGTGAAGGAAAGTTTTTAATTTCACTTTGAATTCAGCTGTTCGCTCTTATTTTTTGATTTCAGTAGCTCTGCTCGGACAAATAATATTTCTTGGAAGGAATAGTTGCTTACTGTTTATTTTCTATAGTTGCTTGTTGTTTATTGTTGCTTACTGTTTATAGTTGTTTATTGTTTATGGTTGCTTATTGTTTATTGCTGCTTATTGTTTATGATTGCTTATTGTTTATTGCTACTTATTGTTTATGATTGCTTATTGTTTATGACTGCTTATTGTTCATGCATAAATTTTACCTAATTTGATTAACTGCATGCTTCTTATATTATTTAGTCATAATTCATTTGCAATTTTTAATTTCATTAGTATATGCAGAGATGGCAACCGTTTTTTTCTGAAACAATTAGTGATAACAATAATAATAATAATAAAAGAAATAGCATTAGCAGTGAAAGAAGTGACGATTGAGAAATGATTAACATTACTAGATAATAATGTTTATTATCTGTGATATATCATTGATAATTTAAAGATAAGCAAAAGACGGTTGTTTAGTGTTACCTTAAGCAAACGATAGAATTCATACCTGTTTTCCATTAAAATTGAAATTTTATTGAAATTTTGACAACAAAATGTTTGATGAAATTTATCAATTTTTATTTCTCTATTGATAATTAAAAAAAAAAAAATTTAAACAATTTATTTCTATTCGAAATAAGTACGAATCAAAAACTTTGATAAATAATAACAAAGTTTATTTTATTGACTTTAATTTACTTCTTCTTGTTCATTTTCAAAATACACTCATAAAATTATAAAATATTTCATTCAGGAAATGGAAATGAAAATGATGAATGATTTAATTAGAAATGCTCATTTTCAAATAAACAAAATGAATTGGGAAGAGAAAGTTCAAAATTTCACTGATAACACTTGGGAATGTTTATGTGATAATGTAACTGATATTACTAATGTTAGTTAAATTTAAATTTCTACTAATTATATAAGTGATAATTTAATAATTAGACAATTAGCTAGGTAATAATAATAACATTATCATGATAATTATTAAAGTTTTATTATTAGCTTAATACTATTTTATCGAATATGATGATAAATTAGTTAAAATTAAATTTGACAATCTAATAAATACGAATTTAATTTTATAACATAATAAATTGAGCTAGGCCAATTTAAATTTTTTTTAAATTATAAATTAGCTAATAAAATTAATTGAATATAAACTTATGTATTATATTTTTAAATATTTTTTTTTTTGTAGATACAAGAAAAATGCATAAATATAGAAAACAAATTAATAAAAATTTTTAAATATATAAAATATGATATCGAATCGAGATTGTCCACTCTGAAATCTGATTCTAATATCAGTTATTTGTCATCCAATCAGTATTATCCATTTTATAATAAAAGTAATAACTTAGAAAATACCTTAAGAGGTAAAGTAAAAGTATAATTATCATTGATTATTGATTATTTAATTACTATTTGTGAATTTCAAAAAATCATTTCAAAAAAATTATTTGTTTCATTTAAAACATTATAAAATTGTTTATTGTTTACTGCTTAACGCTTTCTTTTCTTTTTTTTTTTCTTTGAGTGATTAAATAATTTTTAGAAAAAACATTGGAAAATGATATATTATCAAGTATTTATATGATGCAGCATAGTTTACTTAAAATTGATGCATTTCAAGTAAACAAATCAAAAATTTATTTAATTTTTTATTGCCCTATATCACTAATAAACAATGATATGTTTGATTTTGATAAATTTTAAAATTTATTTTTAAAAAATTTTCATATTTTGTTTATTGATTTATTTGTTTGTTTGCTTTTATTTCAGAAACGAAAAATGGGATTGAATAAATATTGTTCAACGATACGTTTACTCATTTATGATAGAGTTAAAATTAAAAAACAATTATTGAATGTTAAATATGCAAGAAAAAAACTTGCAAATATTAAGCAAAAAATTCAAAATTCAAATTTGATAAAACAACAATCGGTTAAAATTTCCCTTAGTTCAAATTTAAATTTAGCCATTTTGAATTTAAACAAATGTTAATAGATTTTGATTAATTAATAAATTAAATATTCCACAAAGCATTTTTTTTTTTTTAAACTTGATATTAAATAATTTTTAGCAATTTTTTTTTCAAAACATTATTTTTATTAGACTAAATGTACAAAAGTAAAAATTTTTATTTTTTTAAAAATTCGTAAATTTAAGTGATTTGAAGGACAAATTTTAAATTAATTTTAATTTGGCATTTTAAATTAATTTATTTAGCTGAATAAATGCATAGCAATGTTGGATAATATATTGGCAGCAATGCAATTTATAATAATTGAAATTGACAAACAATTTGATTCAATTTATTCGGTTAATCGATACATTGCATTATTTAATGAGTTGTACCAGCAGTTTCAGCACAATCACCAGGTATTTCATTCAAATTAAATTAAATTGAAATTGGAAATAATTGAAATTGAAAATAATTAAATTAAACTGCACAATCACCAGGTATTCCATTCAAATTAAATTAAATTGAAATTGGAAATAATTGAAATTGAAAATAATTAAATTAAACTGCACAATCACCAGGTATTTCATTCAAATTAAATTAAATTGAAATTGGAAATAATTGAAATTGAAAATAATTAAATTAAACTGCACAATCACCAGGTATTTCATTCAAATTAAATTAAATTGAAATTGGAAATAATTGAAATTGAAATTAAATTAAATCAAGCAATTACCAGGTATTTCATATAATTGAAATTGAAATTAAATTAAAAAATAATTGAGACTGAAGTTAAATTAAATTAAATTACGCAATCACCAGGTATACCATATAATTGAAATTGAAATTAAATTAAAATCACTGAGTTATTTTTAATCTTTTAAAATGGAATTTATTTAAAAAGAAAACAGAAAAGTAATCGATGAATAAAAAAAGAAATGAAAAAAAATTTTTTTTTTTTTTTGATAAGTTAGATATTATTTGAAATGATAAAAGATTAGTGCAAATATCAAAGGTTTGAATTTTGATAAAATGCTAAAAAGATAAATTGATAATCTGACAAAAAAAACCGATAATGTTTAAAAAAAGTCTCTAATCATTGCACTGATAAGAATTGATAATTTTAAATTTATTAAAATCATTTTTTAAAAAATTTTTTTACATCAATTATTTTTTCTATTATTAATAAGAAATTTTTAATTTGTGATAAAAAATGTTTTTTTGCAGAAATTTTTTTCGCGACAAAATTGGATATTTGATGAATGAAAATAAACAGTAAACAATAATTTCATTTTTTTAATTTCTTTCGAATCGCTTATTTTCTTTTTTAATCTTAATAAATTTAATAAATATATTTCTATAAAATTTTAATAAAACAATAAAAAAAAGGAAAGTATTGCTATTATTGTTTATTTTTCATTTATTTTCATCAATTGTTTATGATTTATTTAAATTTGTTTACTTTTATTTTATGAAAAAAAAAAGAAAAACGAGAAATTTTAAGTTTTTTCAAATTTTAACTGTATAATAAAGTTTTTTTTTGTTTCGGAACTTTCACTTCAAAAAAGAAAAGTAAGAAAAAAAGTTTTACATTGTAAATAAATTAATTACAAAAATAGGATTTATTGTTTTTTCAAACATTAACAAAGAAATTAGATTAATTAATTAGTAAAAAAAAATATACAAATGATAATTGTGTGATAAATATTTTATTTATTTTTTATTTATTTTTATTCAAACATTAACAAAGATATTAGACTAATTAATTAATTAATAAAAAAATATGCAAATGATAATTTGTTGTGATAAATATTTATTTATTTATTTTTTATTTATTTTTTTTTCAAACATTAACAAAGATATTAGATTAATTAATTAGTTAATTAATAAAAAAAAATGCAAATGATAATTTGTTGTGATAAATATTTATTAAATTTACAAATGCATTTTATTCACATATGCGATACAATTTTTTTTTTTTTTTTTTTTTAGAAAAAAAGCATATTAAGGCAACATTTTCATACAATTTTAGCAATTATTTATACAATTATGAATATTTTTTGCATTTTTGTTTGTTTGTTTTGTTTATTTATTTGTTTGTTTGTTTTTTTTTTCATATTTTTTTTTTTTTTTGAGAAGAAAGAAATTAAAAGAAATTAGAACAAATTATGAAATGATAAATCTTTTTTTTTTTTCAGCTTTTCAAATCAAAAAAAAATGTTAGTTAGTTAATTGCAAAACAATTATCATTGAAAAAAAAATATATATAATAAACAATTTCAAATTCAATTCAATTTATTAATTAATGAATATTCTAAAGATCAAAGATCAAACATTTTCCTCTTTTCACATTTTATTTAATCAATAATTAATTGATTAAAATGATCGATTAGTGAGAATTAAATCAGTTGAAATAGAAATTTAAAAAAAAAAAAAAGTTCCTTTTAATTATGAAAATTTTAATTTTTAATTTTAATCTTTTACTTTAATCTTTAATGAATTTTATTACTTTCGAACTTTTTTTTTTTTTTTTTTTTTTTTGTTTTGATTTGAAAATGAAAGTACATTATAGTGTAAAAAAGATGGAAAATATTGCTGGCAGTTTTTTTTTTTTTTTTCTTTTTTAATTTTTTAAAAAAGAAAATCAAAGAGAGAGGGAGAGAGAGAGAGAGGGAGAGGGAAAGAGGAAAAGAAAGAGAAGAAATTTTAATAAATTTTTGACATTGAATTGATATGTGGAAGAATGTTCAGGTAGAATTTGATAAATAATTCATATGAAGAAAAGAAGAAAACGTCGAAAAGCTGAAAGAGAGTTTAGATTAGCATGTACCGGTGACACATTCGTTGCTATCACTGTCACCACTGTCACCGCTGTCACCATTGCAACCACTGTCACAATTGTCACCATTGTCACCACATCTAGCCTCGGAAGAAGCAGTACCAAAGTGCGTGCAGCACTGCCGGCAACCAAAAGAAGAAACACAGAACGATATTCACTACCACATGGATATTGCAATCGCTGCTATGGATGAAAATTGCCAATGGCTGAAAAATTAGTATTATCACTTGTTATCAGTAGTGTTACCATTATCATTTGTTATCAGTAAATCACCATTATCATCTTTTATCAGTGATATTATAATTATCAGTTGTCATCAGTGATACTACCATCATCATCTCCTATCAGTGACACTATCATTTGCTGTCAGTAAATCACCATTATCATCTGTTATCAGTGATATTATCATTACCATTTGCTATCAGTGATACTACTGTCACCATCACCTACCAGTGGCATTATCATTTGTTATCAGTAATATTATCATTTGCTATCAGTGGTATTGTCATTATCATTTGTCATCAGTGATACTATCACTATTATCATTATCAGTGATTGGTACTAATGCCATAAGGATCATATCAGCTCTTTTCAGCTATCAGTGATACTATCATCATTTTATAAGATCAAGATAGACAATTATATGATCAGACTTTGATTTATTTATTTTTTTTTTTTAAATAATTTTGAAAAAAAAAAATTCTGTTATCAATAATAAATGTAATTAATTGGTATTTCTTTTAGCAATTAATTGTTAAAGAATCCTCCCTCATATTTCATTTCTGATTTTAATTCCATTTCCATTTATTTGAATCAAATGCTTCATTTGATCATAAAACAATTAAAATATCAACATATACCGGCAAAAAATTGCTAAGATAAGTTCGATAATCTGTTGCACATCCACCATAATTGCTGTTTTGTTCGTTTATTGTTTATTGTTTATTGTTTATAAATCACAATAATTAATCTGTAAATATACAATACTAACAAATGTATTATTTACTTTTTGAAACACAAAAACGATAAATAATACAAATGAAATAAATTTAATTGTAAAAAAAAAGAAGAAATCAAATAATATTTGCATTTAGTTTTCATTTATTTATTTATTTATTTTTTCATTACGTTTCAACTTTTCGATGATTTGTAAATAATTTAAACTAAATTTTGTGATTCAATGAAAAAATATACTTGAAATTTTTGAAACTTTTTCAAATTTAATAACTTTCCAAATATACAAATTAGATTAGTGTGTGATTTTTTTTGAAAAATAAAAATTTTAAATTTTAAAAAAAGCAATAATTTTCACACTTATTAAATTTTTTGAAACAAAATAATACTACGTCGCTCTCTCTCTCTCGAGAGATTTTACAGGCATAAAATTATCTTTTTCAAAATAATTTATTTATTATCTAAAGATTTAAAAAATTTTTCAAAAATTAAAAAAAAAAAATTATTATCAAAATAATTTTTCATTTAGAGAGAAAATTTGACAAAATATATAGCAAATATTTAGAGTTAAATAAAATTAAATGAAATTAAAATTTTTATAGGTAATTGATTAGTAAATTTAGTCAAATTAATTTAGCTTAGTAAAAAATTAGTAAAATTTAGTAAATTTTATTAAATTTTTATAGGAATTAATTTAATTAAAATTAATACATGTTTCTTTTTTTTTTTTACAACAAAATTTCAATGTTTTATTTAATTTTAATTATATCACAAATTTTCATCATTAAATTATGATTTAAAAAAAAAAAAAGGAAAAAGAAATATTCAATTTAAATTTTATTAAAACTAATCAAAAAAAAAATTATTATTGTACATTTAAATTTTTGCCACAATCATTTGTTTGTTTGTTTATTTATTTGTTTGTTTTTTTTCTTCCTTAATTTGATTTTGTTTACTAAAATGTTGAAAAGATAAACTTTTTGTTTAAAATTTTTTTTTTTGTTTGAATTTTAAAACATTTACAAAAAAAAAAAGGAAACGAATCAAAATTAGCTTAAATAATTTTATTTTATTTAAAAAAAAAAAATCTTTTAAAAATTAATTTAAAAATTACAAAATGAAAACTAATTTTAACATATTTCACAAAGCATTTTTCAGCTAGCAATAAAATAATTTGCAAAGAAAAATGATGATAAATAGAAAATTTAGAAAATGGATGGTTTTTTAAAAAGTGGTAAAAGAAGGAGAGAGAGAGAGAGAGAGAGAGGGACAGAGAGAGAGAGAGAAAAGAGAGAAAAGAATGATAACAGATTGATAAAAAAAAAAGTTTCCTATTTTAAGTGCAACAAAAAAAAAAAAGAGTAAGAAAATTTCAACTATACAAAATTAATTATTTGTTAGAAACATATGGGAGAATTTTGTTGAGACAAAAAAAAAAAATTTAACAAAATTTAAAAATTTATAAAAATTCAATAATTTCGATAAGTTTAGAAATTTTTTAAAAAATTTTTTTTACAGCAAAAAAATAATTTTTCTGAATGAGAAATGCAACATTTTTTTTTTTTTTTTTTTAAGTAAACAATAAATATTGGTGACAAAATAAATAATAATGAGAATAATTTTATCATAAAAATGATGCATAAATGTAGTAAATAAATTGAAATTTTTTTTTTTTTTTTGATAATTTGATGTTATTTCTTTTATCAGAAAAATTATTATCAGCTTTATCATAATCAGTATTATATTGAAATGAAAATTATAATAAATTAAAAATTAAAGTGAACAATTTTTTTTTGAAAATTGTTGATGGAATTTTGAATGGAAATTTTTCACACTTCAAAAATGCAACTGATTCATTGGGAATACAAAAAAAAAAAAAAGAAGAAAAAATGTTTTATCACTTTTTAAAGTAAATAAAATGCAAGAACTCATGATAAGATGATAATTGATAGTTGAATAGAATGCAAGAACTCATGATAAGATGATAATTGATAGTTGAATAGAATGCAAGAATTCATGATAAGATGATAATTGATAGTTGAATAGAATGCAAGAATTCATGATAAGATGATAATTGATAGTTGAATAGAATGCAAGAATTCATGATAAGATGATAATTGATAGTTGAATAGAATGCAAGAACTCATGATAAGATGATAATTGATAGTTGAATAGAATGCAAGAACTCATGATAAGATGATAATTGATAGTTGAATAGAATGCAAGAATTCATGATAAGATGATAATTGATAGTTGAATAGAATGCAAGAACTCATGATAAGATGATAATTGATAGTTGAATAGAATGCAAGAACTCATGATAAGATGATAATTGATAGTTGAATAGAATGCAAGAATTCATGATAAGATGATAATTGATAGTTGAATAGAATGCAAGAACTCATGATAAGATGATAATTGATAGTTGAATAGAACAAATACTACAATTCAATTCATTGAATAATTAAAGTAACTTGAAAAAAGAATACTTTCTGTAATAATAGCCATATCAAACATTGTTATCACATTATCAATTACATTATCACATTATCAATTAGATATGATAGATAAAGAAGATAAAAAAACTTTCAAAATTATTTTTTAAAATCAATTTTCAATTCAAAAATTTAAATATATCAACTTATTGTGAATAAAATAGAAACTAATAGCAAAAAAGATAGAAGGAAATGTTGTTGTTGTTGTTGTTGTTATTATTGTTGCTATTATTATTCTATTTTCTAAGTTTGCTCCCAGAAATTTTCTTCTTTCTTTCTCTCTTTTTCCCTCTCTCTCCCTCTCTCTCTCTCTCTCTTCCATTTTCTCTCTTATTCATTCCAATACATTTAAACTTTACTTTACACTGTGAAATATTCAACCAAATGAAAAATACCATTCCTTTTTCCATTTTGCTATCTGTCAACAACTGCTATTTCACTTTTAAAAAATATCAAACTTTTTTTATGTTTTACTTTTATTTTTTATTTTTTAAAAAAATTTCATTGAAAAAAAAAAAAAAGGAACAGTAAAATCATATAATATATTATAAATTATAAATATGCAGATAATAAATTAATACATTACTAATTGATAAATGCTTATTTTTAATTATTAATTAAATGGTTGTAAAATAGTAAATGAAAGAGTGAATTGTTTAATTTATAAATATCTAAATGATTTAATAATTAAATGCATAATGTAAAATTTCTTATCATTTAATTTAATACTGAATGATAATTTATAAGAATAGCTTTTTTTTTGATAAAAATGATAATAATATAAGAATTTGAATAAATTTTAAATTATTTTTTATATCAACTAATCAAAATTTTTATACCAACTTATCATATATTATGATAAACACTAAATTTTAAATTATTTTTATCTCAACTTATCACATATTATGATAAGCATTAAATTTTAAATTATTTTTATATCAACTTATCACATATTATGATAACATATCGTTTACTCTTCCTTTCATTTTCTCTATAAAATGTTGTAAATTCATTTAATCAATTCAAATTTAAATCAAAACAATGAAAGAAAAAACACTGTATGATAAAATACTTTTTTTTTTTTAAAAAATTCTAAAAATGAAATGCAAAAAAAAAAAAAAGAAAAATCAAATAAAAAAAAATAAATGTGAAATTCTTCTTTTCTTTTCTTTATTCAACTTTTTCAAAACTATTATTTCGTTTATAAATTTTTTTTTTTTTTTTTTTAAGAAATTTTTGAGCACAAGAAAGTGGAAAACGAAGAATTTAACAATGAATTCATTAAAAATTTGTTTTTTAAAATTTAAAAAATTTCAAAACTAAACAAAAAAAAATTTATTGCTTACAAATGCGGAAAAAATTAAAAGATATTTACAGTTAAACGCAACTGAAATGATTGCAATTAACAAAAAAACAAATTTTTTTCTTCTTCATTAAATTTATTCTTCTTTTAGTCCTTTTGTTGATGACACAATAATAGAAAATTTTTTAGTTTAAAAAAAAAAGCGAAAGGAAAATTTAATGAAATTTAAAAAATGAAAAGAAAAAAAAAGTGTTTTTTCATTTACTGTAAAAAAGATAACTCTGAAAAGACTGATAAAATTGTGCTTCTTTTTTTTTTTTTTAAATTGTAAAAAAGTTTTTTTTTTTTTTGAAATGTTGCATATTTCCAATGATACATAAATATATTTCAATTTTTAGTTTTTTTTTAAACTTTAATTGCTAATTAAGATTGAATACAGTAATTAATTAGTGTGTATTAATTAATTTTAATTCAAATAGCTCTAAGTGTTATGCTTAAAGTTTCTAATGCATAAATTAATTTTTGTAGCTAAACTATTCACATTTTTTTAAAATTAAAACTTCGTGAAATATACATATATACAAAGAGAAACAGAGAGAGAGAGAGAAGTGGGAAGAAAAGAGAACAGAAAAATTTATAGCAATGATCAAAAAAAAAAAAAAAATTATTATTATCATTATCATTGTTATTATTATTATTATCTATTATTAATATCATTATAATGATTCTTATTACTTATTATCACTGTTATCGTTATCACTATTATCATTATCATTATTTATTTTTATTTATTATTATTATTATTTATTTATTATTATCATTTATTATTATTACCATTATTCTTATCATTTATCATCAATATTATCAATATTTATTATTATCATTTATTACTATCATTAGTATTATTATTGATTATTATCATTAATGTCATTATTATTGTTATTATCATATTAAATACTATTATTGTTCCCATAATTAAGATCATTATGTGTTAATTTGTTATTGCTTAAACAATTACAAATTAATATGCTAATTTTATGAAATTTAAAAAAAAAAAAAAAACAGCAAAGAACAAACAAAAAATTTTCCTTTCTATAATTTCTCTCTTTTTTTCTTCTTTTACTATTGAAAATTGTTTGAAATACATATAGTTGTTTT